ATTCTGCAGACAAAAACACATAAGAAAATGTATTGTCAAGATTATTTTTACACTCTAAACAGAGTTTGAAATAAATCGAATGATAGCTCGATTTTGCTTCTTTTTTGGAGCACGTTTTTAAACTTCAAAAATCCATCGACACCATCTAAAATCATTTTTTTGAGTTCTAGTTTACGGGAAAATTCATTTTAAACCTTAAACTTTCTGATTCCGATGGATCCCCCGAGATACAAAAAATTTTTGAAAAAGTGGACCACCCTAATATATATACTGATTATCGTAAGTAAATACCTTGAAATGACTATTTTCTAAATCCAAAATCATAGCTAATCCGGTTTCATTTTTCAATATGTAAGGAGCAGCATTTTTTGTAGATGATTTGTTACCTACTTCCATGGCATTAGAAAATGCATTACCAAGTTGTTTTAATACATCTAAACAAGTTCTTGTCACTGTTATCTCTAAGTTTTCTGATGACAAAATATCGATGGACATTTTTGATTTTTGCTGAAATTCTTCTGGCTCTATATCTGACATTGGGCTAAGAGCATTAATAGCCGGATCGACTTGCATATCATTAAATTGAATCTAAAAAATCAAGTTACCACATTGTCAGTTCCAGAAAGCTTGTCACATTTATTCATGGCAGTAAATTATACATACTTTCGTTTTTAGTTCCCAGGGCGTAGAAGTACGTTTTCCATTTTTAACCGCTTCCATGGGTTCTATAAGTGGTTCCCACAGAGCCAATCGACTATTGTAATAAGCCATAACTACAGACATCGATGCTTCGATGCTCATCTTTAAAATAATAAATTTTTAATGTACTGTCAAAACTTATAGGACTATGACTTAATTAATGATCTTTACCGTATTGGTACTCCAATCATGTATGTCACTTTGAAAACCTAAATGCAAAAGCAGCATAGGTAACGTTTTATTACCGATACCAGCTTCAAGGGTAAGTAATATTGTTGGTGCTGAAACAATTGCTACCTCTGGCTTATAAACTGGTGTTCCATTTTCTTCTTCGTCAGAAAATTGAAGATCTTCATTCGCTTCTTGAGCTACTTCTGTTTTAAAAAAGAATTATTTTTATTAGTTTAGAAACTAGTCATGTCCAGACAAAAGCCACCTACCTGTTTTCAAAAACCAATAATCGCTTTCCTTGAATGGAGTAATGATCCAAAGACCATCGTGATTAGGTTCTTGTTTTTTAACTTCACCAGAATCTTCCTCTTTTTTTATTACAGTTTGTACAACTCGATTTAAAATTTCGATGACGCCCGGTGAAACTGAGATGTGAATGTCAGTACTACAAATATCTACATGTAATCCTTTACCCTCTGGCGTCGAACCAGCAATACTGATGTTTATCGGTCTAATTACTTGATATATCCAATCAGATCGTTTAGCTGGGTTATAAATGCCAGCGAGAATAGAAAGGTCTTTGATTGAGCCATTTATAACTTGATGCTCGCCCATCATTCGGAATTTCATTAATATCTCCGTCTAAAGATTTATATTATTTAAAAAAAAGACGTATAAATTAAATATCAAAATCACTTTTGAATTTATATTGTCTTACGTTAAGTACGATACAATTAGAATCGATATCATCCATATCCTCCAGTAATATGATGTCTGGTTTTTCTATATGTAAATTAATAGTTAACATGGTATCGACCACAGGAACTGGAGTCGCTGGAACAGATTTTCGTTTTAACGCAGCTTCCAACTGTAATGCTTTTTGTGATGCTTGCAGAGCAGCTTGCGATTGCTGCGTCGTTTCATGGGGGTTCGAATTGAAAAAATCTTTGATTTTCATTAGGTAATCAAGAGAAACTATGATACTGAATGAAAATACTCGAACGTCAACTGCAAAATTATTATATTACGTTGTGAAAATTCTATACAAGAAAGACTAATATATATTTAAAACATTTATCGAGCATACCAAAGATATCGGTAGGACTTTTTCTCACAGTTACGTCCAACATACTTCTCACTGGTTTTGACTCGTCATCCGTACAAAAGTTATCTGGCAACGCACTAGTTCGTTCCATAATACGCACTAAAGAACCCTGCCGATTTCGACGAGTATCGTCTAACGTACAGTTCATCAATAGGATGGATGTGGCTAAAAGACCATTGGCAAACATTTGACCTTTGACCGCTAAGTAAGTCAGTCCGAATTTTGCCAACGAGTTTTCTGGTAGATGCAGAGGTGAATTTTGTGTTTTCAACTGAACAGAAAGTAAATCAATAATTCAACAAATAAGAAATTTGAATAACGAAATAACTTATTAAAACATATTAATCACCATTTTGGAACCACCAGTAAATAATTGAATGACTAAACTATCCATAATAAATTCAAATTTAATGGTTGCCTGAACGTGACGCTGCTCCTGATCCTGCGACGTTCCAGGTTCTTGTGCGATTTCTACTTCTGTTTTAACTGTCAAAGCACACAGTATTGAACATGAATGACTTTTCAATTACGAACATTTTTAGATTAAGTAAATTTACTTACACTGACTGGGCCTTGTGTGTTCCTCTGTAGTTAATTGCCTCCTAAACTCTGGTCTCGGATGGGATGGTTTCATATCAACAGGTCGATCGTTAGCACTCTCTCCTAGATTTTCATCGAGAGTGGACATGATCATGGCGTAATCTTCTTGATTCAAGAGGATGGTAATTTTTTTCATCCTACCAGACATTTCGATATCTGGTATCTTTCGGAACCAAGCGGTTGATAAATTGCGTTTTAACAGAAGTATAACGCTGACCGGTTGAAGAAGCAAGACTTCATTCTCAGCAACAAAATTTTCCTTGTTCAGGCGTACCCTGAAAAGTTATAATTTTAATTTATTTATTCATTAATTTTTTTGAAACTATTTTTATTTATTATCATTGAATTACCAACCGAGATAATTTCAAATTTTGTAAAGCCACATTCATTTCATCTACTACAGGATATTGGCCTGATTCGGTAACAGTATCGATTTTTTTCAGCACATTGCTTACGGTAAGATTACCCATATCTAACATGAGGCAGTGCTCACTTTTTGAGTTCATTGGTACATATATAACTGGTGCTTTTAATTTGACGGATAGTTCAATACGAGTGGCACGTTCATGTACATCTTTGATATTCGTTCTAGCGGCTTCAGCAGCTGCTGCTGATGCTTCGGCTATGGCTTGTTGAGCAGCTTGGAAGTTATTCAGAAAATTCTAAAAATAATGGTTAAGCCTATATAAAAATTGCATTTTTTTAAATTTAATGTCTACTTGAATGAAACAATACCATAACAGCTGTTACAAAAGAATTCAAAAATACAACCCTGTGACAACCCATTGTTATTGTGATAGACATATTATTTTTGTCAATATCATCCGGTTCAACATTGTACATGATAGCCTCAATTTGCAACGATTCAGAACCTTCTACTGACACAATCTGTAAAAATATATTGTTAGTGAGTAACTTTTCTATTGTTTATTATTTGAATAATCTTACATTTCTGTAGATTGAAGCCGCATTAAGATCCTTTACTTTAACAGAATTTAATTGTACGTTTGCTTTGGAATGTGATTCCTTCATAATATATCCAGCTGTAATACCTTCTATGTAAAATGCACTAATATCTCTGTAATCATTCCTCATTTTCAAACTTATAGTACCAATTTTAAATGTTATTTTAAAATCCACTACTTCGACGGGAGCTTTTTTCCGACGAATTTTTATCGGTCCACGTTGTCGTTGAATCTGTTCTTTGATGAATGTCGAAGTATCTTCTTGTATGGTTGATAAATGACCAACTCTACTAACCCTTGGTTCTTTTTTGAGATCTACAACGGTAGTCGTTGCTTTGCTGACATTATCTTGAACATTAGACAAGAATTGAAGAACATTTATCAAAGCTTCTTGATGCAATAAAACGTTTAACGTGGTGAATTCTAATTGAAGTAAATTCACAACTGAACCTAATTTGGAAAATTCTGGTGATCCTTTATTCATCTGAAATTTCAATTAAAGCATTTTCAGTTATGCATAATGTTTTTTCTTACACAAAAAATTGCGTACATTGATAAATTGTATAATAATAAGATATTCCTCGCTTCCAGATGACATGGGCGTGTCGATCATGAATATTTCACCGGTATCATGATTCTGTTTAATTTGAACACCTCCTAATCTAAGCATGACTTCTTGATTGAAAGTTCGTTGCATCAACTCAGCTTCAAGTTGTAACAATTCGAGTCTTATGAATGGAATGATTTTTTGTTGTTTATTTTGTTTCGATATTGTCACAGTAAATTCTGAAATAACATAATTATTTTCAGCTTATTTTTCTTTAAAAAAACGATAAAAGTGGATTTATTAATAATACCTTTCATGACGAATTTTGCTTCAAGATCAATTGTTTGTTTCAACGAAGCAGAGCTTTCTTCCTGCCCCTTTTCGGATGGAAGATTAACTTGGAATTCTTTGAACAACGACATCTGAGACACTGACTTTGACTGAAAGATAAAATAATTGTAATAGTGCAAATAATATTTATCTGGCTACTCTATTGTGATGTAGATTTATTCATTACTATTGAAACTCGCGGTGGCAGTTCTGTGGGAACTTCTTCCTCCGGCATAGGAATACTTTGAGCAATTGCAAGACCTTCAAGTAATCGTTTTTCAGTAATATTTAATGCGACCGATGGCAGTTTTCCTATGAGTCTCGTTTTCGGAAGCAATGGATCATCCGTGATGAGACATTTGTGAAATTGAATTTCCAAAGACGTAGGTTGCAAAACTTTTATTGGGCTCGCTGTACTGGTTAAAGCATCTCGCCAATCTTCGTTGCTCAACGAAATAAGAGCCTAACATAAAAATAAATATAAAATTAAATATTTATAAAATTAAATATCATCGCAAAAAAATAACTGAAGTGAAAGTATAAGTGTATAAAAAATTACTCACTTGAAAATTAACTATTTTTAATACAAATTTATCATAACTGTGTTGTCTTAGATGTTCTAAAATATCTTTTTCGCTCTTTCCCATGCTGACTAGAGACTTGACGCTTAAATTAGATTCGCTATCCGTAGGCTTTTCCAGAGAATGTACTTTGAGACTACCAAGGTTGATCACAATTAAGGATTCGTTACCATTAAAAAAACCTCCATGCGGTATTATGAGTTGCGACGCTTTCAAATCAACCTGTATGTCCAAGGCTGCGTGTTTTTGAATTGCGTACTCTAGACCTAAAGCTGATACTCCCTTCAGATTGACTAGTTGTTCTGCAGCAGCAGCTTGCAATCTATCAATATGATCGATTAATAGATGAGATTTCAGGTACTTAATTACCGTAAACGAACAAAATGAAAACTTACTGGTTTAAAGTAGAAGGATTTTGTACTTTGAATAATTTAATAAGTTGTATTATAGTCTGTGCATCGTAAACAATATGTACAGAACTAGTCTTAACAATTATTCTATCCCCACACAATTTATCAGCAGGATTTTTCTCATAGGACACATAAAATAAACCATCTTCCAATTCTGTATCTTTGTCTGAATTGAATAATGAAGGCACTTTTTCTCCCTGCTTGACACCAAACAACTTCAAATCGTTCATTGACACTGAGGTGCTGTTTTAAAGAATATTGAAAATTATGATCTTAAAAATAGATAATTAAAGAAAAAGTTTTCTGATAATAACACTTACTAAATGGCATTAGCTGATGGCCTGGATTTGAAGTCAGCTTTAACCCCAGTCAATTGTAAGTCTAAAATTTCTGGGTTTTCACGATCTGTATCAAGTAACAAAATTTGCAAGCCGTGCAAAAAGAAGCCTGTTACAATTTCTTCGTAAGATTCAGGATAGTACGTTGGGGATGAGTTTTCTTGATAATCTATAGCTCGATATAATTTTTCTTTTTCTGCCGGTGTCATCGCTTCCTCAAACTTTCTCACTGACAATACAAAACGTTGATTATATTATGTTAGAAAAATGATGATAAAATTAATAATTATTCATAATTAGTTACATACTTATGGCCGCAGCAGTATTGAGCTCTTGAATGTCTTCTTTTTTCGGCGAGCCCCATAAGAAACCAAACCATCCACGATTAGCATTAAGATTTTTTTCTTTTTCAATTAGTTTTTCAACCTCCATTTCAATTTGTTGTCTTATTATAATTAGATCACAAATATCCAATTTTTTCTCGTGATCAGCTAATTGGTCTTCAAGATCAGACGGAGGCTGTTTTGTAGTTAATTTTGAACGATACAGTTTAGCGTAACTTCGACGAGTATCTCGGTGATTTTTAATATGATTCCAGTTCCAATTTTTACGGGCTCTTCTTACTTGTTCTTCCAATATGCAAGTGTATGCAAATTTCCACCTAAAAATAATTATCATGATTAATTAAGAGTTTGAATATTAATTCATTATTTGAATCAGATATTTTAACCCACCATTCTTTATAATGTCCCCGATAACTTGATAAATTTGGTCTGTATTTCCTATAAGGCGCAGCTATTCTAGCTGTTTCTAAACCTTCCATCATCTGCATAATAGTTTGATATTGACGTTTTGTTAAACCTATTCTCAATGTTTGCATTTCTAGATCCAACCAAACTTTTGGTATGGTATAATTACTGCCATCTGTTTCTGGCTTGGGATTAAGTTTAAGTTTTGCTTTGACATTTATTGGACCCAGTACTGATCAAAAGAAGAAAGAAAATTATTTTTTACAAGTGATGTTGAAAAAAAATTGATTATTAAAATAATTACAGTATTGATAGTTTTCTGGTAAAAAATCAGCTGTAGCTATTGTTTCCGCAAATATTTCTATATACTTTGTTGGTGTGTCTACACTGAATAATTTTGGATGAGGATTCAAGTACACAGCAAATCCATCCATTATGCATAACTGTAATAAGCAAATTTTTAATAAATCAATAAAACAAAAAGTAAATGACATTTGCAAAAAAATTATTGTACTTTGAAAATTTGTTGAATGGCATACATATCCTTGAGATTGCCACTAGACCAGTTAGAATCACAACTTTCAAGAGCAAAACGATTGAGAGTAATTCCAACGGAAAAAGGATTTTCTTTGAAACTCACTCGATCTTCATATCTTACATGTATGCTTTTAACTTCTACATGAATATTTTTTATCATTCGTGCTATGAGTTTTTCCATCATTGAATCATCAACCTTTTCTTGATCTACATAAACAAATTAGAAAATATTGATTTTTACATGAAATTTGTACAGGAAAAGTTAACATTAGAAAGTAAAATTTTCATTACTTTTTGTGTCAGCTAAAGCTTTACTCTTTTCCACCCTAGCAATCTCTGCTCGCTTTGCTTCCAGTTGCGCTTTGGCTTCTTTTTCTGCATCGTAAGCTACTTGGCTAGTTGGAACTACTAGAATAAATAATTCTTCTATTACAGCATCAATTTGACCATTCCACATATCAGTGAATGGGATCTTCAGTACTAATTTGCCTGGAAGAAAAAAAACAATTTTTAGTAATTTGTACAAAAGGAAATAAAAAATATTTATTTTGACAATCATATTTTTATTTACCCAATCTGCCATATTGTAGTTTTATAGGCAGATTTAGCACATCCAAAGCACTTTCTTTTATTAAAAGATTATTTAGAACTACATCTCCTGTAAGAAAAAAATTGTTATCATTTTTTAGTATCTTTTTCTTTTTTTTGTATAATTTATAAACATGATGATTTTTTGTTTATTATTGTTTGGCCGTTCGAACTTTTAAACATTTTCTACATAGCGTTACAAAACTTCGTGGCCTATAAAAATTGGCTTCATGGAAAAAGAAGCATTAAAATACGAGCATTATTTTATTCGCATCAATGACTAACAAATCTTTACATTCATATCGGTCATTTCTTGTCGTCGCAACGATTCGTCACCCGTATTTGTGCATTATATATGTGTAATAACTCCCGCAATAAATAAGTTCATTAAAATCCAGTTTTCAAGAGTACAAGGTCGGCTGAGCAAAAATACTTGGTGTGAATTTCAAATGTTTAACGTACATATGTCTCGGAAATATTTGCTTCAATATATTCGAGCATTTCTGTCATAATATCATGTTGCTGAAGTATTTCATGTTATAATTCGAAGGATGATGCATGCCTGTACCTTGGCACCGTCAATGTATGAATTGGATTTGGTATAAAAAAAAGGAATAAAGATGAAATTTTATGCGATTGAAGCAAAAACAAGTAAACCTCTTTGGCTCTGTGATATCGCGTGATCGAAACATTATTTTCGGGTTCTGCTTTTTATGAACGGAAGTAATGTCCGATAATATGAATATATATAAAAACATGATGTCACGCACATGATCGAATTTGGGAGGTGCGTGTACGAAAGTCGTCTGTTTTGAGTGCATGCGTACTTGCGTAATCGTGCGTGCACGCGTCGGTCGTCGGAGACTCGAGGGCATTACGCGTATTATGCTACGAGAATCAATCTTGGAAGCAAATTCATTACGCGTAAGTTTATTTTTCTTTTCCTCATTTTGATACGTTTACTCGCTCAAACAATTGTTAAGGCGTAAAAGACGTAGCGTTGGACTTTTGAATAATATGATGAAAAGCGAGCAGCGTTATCCAATTAATTCAATGTTTTCGTTGATTTTAAGTTTAAAATAGTCATAGTTCTGTTAAGATGTAATCATTAGATTGCACATTGAAGGCTGAATATTTCTGCGGTTGGTACAACAACGACGTGGACAAGATAAAACGGCGGATTGAATGTTTCATTTTCCATTGACAAATTGAAATCATGAATTTTAAATAATATTTGTTATAATTTCAATGGTCACGAATTTGGCAAAACGCGTGCTTGTCGTGATAACGTAAACATAACCTTTTGATTGACCAGGAATAATTCTAATGACACCTGATGTTGTTACGTCATTTAGCGAATTGATGCATTTGAAGTACGACAGATCGAAGTGACAAAAAGGAAAAATAAAAATATTGCATCGTACCTCCCCACAAGCCGAGCTTGAGCTGCTTGTAGTTGAGATTCTGAATATATTCTCCGAGGACTTTGTTGAGCAATTCCGCAACAATAGATTCGAACACCATCTCGACTGAGCTTTGTTTACGACGTCCGAATCCGTCGACTCCTCTTTAGTTGCACGCACACACTCGCTCACTACTGCGCTATAACAACAAAGCTCTGTATTATCTTGGATCGACGGTGTACGCAATCTCCAGCATAATCGCAAAATACAAATGATTTGATATTCCAGTGTGCGTGTATAATATCAGTAGGGAATAACCTCACACAACTTGTCACAGCTAACGCATGCACGTCTGATTGTATCTCGCTACGCTGTTATCAGCAGTAAGTAAACGTCGCGCGGCGATGTACGGGCTTATTGTTGTCGAACGGCTGCTCATCGTCGCAGCAGCGCAATTATGATCGTCGATCATCGATACCGGGTTTCACCAAGTGTACAGTTAGCTACGGTGGATGGAGAGGTAGCGCGCAGACAGCAAGGCCATCGCCACTACCACCACAGCACCACTACCACTATACTACCACCCATACTGATGACTAGTAGCAGAAGCAGTAGTAGCGGGCGGGACTTCCATTGCTAATATAATGTAATAATGACTGCTGCTTGCGCTTGTCATAATAACCGACACGCTTAAATGCATAGGTTGTTGCTACCGTTGCTTTCGGAGTTTGCGTTATGGCTGAGACTATTTTTTTTATATTTTTTTTTGCATCTAATGCGCCAATTACGTATTCAAAGTGCAGCCGTAATTTTGTTAGATTTAAAACGTTAGCAGTTCCGAGATAGTAACTCGTGCGCTGCAATTTTGACGTGAGTATTGCACGCATATTGTGTGCATATGCACTCGTCAGTTGTGGCCTGCCCTTCGGTTCTCCTTACGTCACGAACATGCGTGCGACTTTACAAAGTGCAAACACATACAGTACAACAACATGATTCTATAATCCATGGGATACGTGAGCGATATTTGATTACTCCCTTGTCTTTTTCCGCCGCTGAACCCATATTACGCTGCTTGTAAGTCGATCTTTTCTATGTGGTATCGTTAGGAAACAATGAAGAGCACTGAATACCTGCAGGATGGTCAACGATTTTAACGTGAAACTTCTTACAGATTTTTTTAACGCTTCGTTGCGTTGAATCAGTTGACATTTCCGTCGAAGCCAAGTATCAATTTTCAATGAAACTTATATGCTTCAAAGATGTAATTATTAAATATTAAGAAAAATATAACGACAACAATCGATTTAACTGATCGTAGAGATATTAGTAAAAGAAACAATTTTTAACGTGTGGTTTTTCCAAAAAAGTCAAAAAATCTCATTTTCGGGCATTAGTCCGCCATTTGGAGCTTCGTACGTAATGAGATTCGTGATTTCAATTTATAGTTTTTAAGTTTGAATTAGATATTGATCACATCAGTCTTTAACTATAATAGCTACTTTTAGAGCTCGAATATTCAGATACGAATGTTCAAACTGTCCAATAACTAGAAATCAAAATTGCAAACACTTTATATTTTACGTCTTAATCGAAAATTAATTTATATAAAAAATTACAATAAATAACATTTTGCGTTTTTTCAAATTTATTGATCAAAAAAGTGTTTATTCAAAACATCATTCAACTCGTAATGACATAAAACTAACTAATGTCAAAATCCTTAGTTTTATCCTATCATATTTACACCACAAGAAAAAATATTAATACACGAAAAAACTCAAGTTTTAAATATATGCTCAAAAATCGAATATATTTGATTTTTTTATTGCAAACCCACTATAGTACAAATCAATCTTATAATTTTCTAATATATTGTGTAGGCGTGCATGTAAAAACGAATATTTGAAAACTATTTCATCGGATTTGGTTTCAGGAAGATTACCAAAGCCAAGCTTTGACCGGATGGTATTACGAGTTAATTACAAGTAACGCAAATTGTTTCTGGACTTATAAACTTTCCCTGGGCTCCTCTTACACAAACATAGTCGGATCAGATTGGAAATGCCTCGGATGGCAGATTCCTACGACCAGGGGACTTTTAAGAGCATGAACGTTACCAACTGCGAAATATAAAAAGTCATCAATGACAAATTCTCAATTTATTAAGAGTAGAACATTAATGGGCTTGCAAAGTTGATATACCTATACTAGCTGATGCGTTTACGACTAGAACTGTAGTCGCAAGCATCCGTGGAACCAAGAGCAATTTCAATCGGATCCGGCTATGTGGAAGGGGCCTTGCACTTGGTTGATTTCGTTAGAGCGTTTGAGCGGGGGAAAGGAAACTTTTGCGGTTCGCCGACTACGGCAGAACGCATGCGTCGTCATCCCTCCCACATCCACCCCTAACCCCACCGTTTTTAAACAAGAAAAAATTCAAGTTATATAGCAGTATACGTAAGTTTATATTGTATAAGCGAGAGCGAAACCGGCGCGGCGGTAGCGACGGCGGCGGCAGCGGTAAGTGGTAACTCGCGCAACGCTGCGTATAGCAGCGCGCACGATTCACTCTCACTCGTGCACCGGTCGTTAGACGCCAAGCACGCCGTCGCCTTTATAACATTTAATTTGTGTTTTTCCAAAGTTTTAAACTCCTCGCTACTGCTTCAAAATTTTGAGACTCTTCTATCGGCAGCTAATGCTGCGACTGTCATTTACCTCAACCGGATAAATGTCCATGTAAACACTCATCGATCGCATGTTATACTTTTAGGGTGTATATAATAAAATGTAGCAAAATCGTGCGACTTCGCTATAGGTACGTAAGTGAGCTTAATGCGAGCGCATTCACCTTATGACAGGCGCGCTCCAGAGTTACAGCGATATTATAATATATACATACATTCAAGTATAGATAGAAACACACCGTCGACGTACAGTCTACACGATACAGTGAGTGCTTTGTGACTTGTAAATACATACGCACTATATACCGCGCGCCAACCAAGCAAACAGTCCCAAAAATTTCCTTCTCGTCGTTGTTGCGCGCCACGAGTGCCAAATCTTACTTTTTACACTTTGTTGAAACATGGAGTGGTCAAATGTGGAAGTAGGATTTTTGAAGGAATGTCAAGTGTTGGAGCCAAAGTTGACTTACGGTTCCTACGGATTTGTGCCCTTGCACGAGTTACGTTACCACGAAAAACTACGACAACTTGAATTGGATCGAGCCGAACAAAAAGTACATCAGTCGAACCAAGCACAGCAACAACAGCAACAGCAAATGGATATCGATTGCAACAACTTCGCTCAACAACAAGAATTTAACCATCACAACGCAGATAGTAGGAAGCGGCGTACATGTGACGAAAATGGTGATGAAGAAAACGGCCCGTTGCAGGATATTTCACATGCAAACAAAAAGTTCCGACATTGTAAGTCAACTGTTTCTTGCTTATGTTGATATTATTGTCAGTATTGTCTACTTGTTGATTACTCTGCCTTATCTACGCGTGCTCTACTACACCGTACATATTTTCGATTACTTTTTTGCGCGCGCATACTACTCGCTGTTATACACTATATAAACATGCATATATGTACACATATCACAGCATATACGCACAATTTGTGACTGACCATAAACACGCAATGTGCTCTATGTATGCAGGTAAAAGATTGTGTAACGTCATGATAGAGGACGAGCGAATTCACTGAATTTCAAAAAGAAAATGAAAACGTGAGGCATCTCATTGAATCTTATTTTTTTGGTTGTGTTGTGTAAACTAAACCAATTCTGTATACACGTTTAACCAATAAAATTCTCATAGGAAAATTGAGTCAAAACCATTTCACAGCATGGTTCACATATATATACAGCATCCCGGTTTAAAGATCTTATATAGCAAGATCAGTGAGAGCCGGCGCTCACCCTTTAATTTCTTGCATGCTAAGATTACACCTGCACAATCACACTGGGTACGTTTCTTTGCCAAAATGGCAAATGTGTGTCTCTATCTCTTAACCTTCACACGATTTTGTGCGAGCGTGCCTGGTCGCATAATATAGACAACACGTTACCGTAATAATAATAGAGCGTGACGAGGGAGGCATTTAACAAACTTTGAAAATTCTGCTTTGAACATCCCAGTCCATTTTGCACATTTTTTGTTTCTCCAATGTCTGTGCATTTCTTTTTGTGTATTCTCCTCCGCGCTTCTTTAGCTTATTTAAATTGGATTTTAAATTAACGCGGACGGTCGCGTGCAGCACGCGTACCACTGACCGGATTTTCGCACTCGTTTAATGCTTGATGGATTGGCGAGCGCATTTAAAGAACTGTGTAAAGTTTATTATGTAATAATCACTGACTTTTCTACAACATACCTATATCTCAATTTTTTTTTTTTTCATCGTATGATTGAATTCGCGTTTATTTACACGAATCATCGCTTGAGATTTCTGCGGTTATATTTTTCGATGATTTATTCGCCAACGCAATTTTCTAGAAAAGTGAAAGCTATTTTTATCAACATTTACAATTGTGATCAGCTACACACATTACTAACATCATTTTTACCATGTTTTTACCCAAAAGCTTTTATAATTCCAAATCATTAATATCTCGTTATTATTTGAAATTTAACTTCTTTTTATCTAATCACTAATCTGTATTATTTGAAGATTTAAGCCTACTACTTGCATTACTCTAAAAATGTTTATTTAATTCTTAAACATGTGCCATGTGTAATGATATTTATTAGACAAATCCTATTTTAAGATTTTGTTTTCAGGGGTGGAAATAACACACGCTCAGCATCATTTACAAAATCTCCAAAATGTTCAAAAGACCCAGCACCGAGCAATGGATACTCCACGCTGCACCATGAATCGTTTTTATTAAACCCTGCTACAAATATAGATTTACCTCAGTTAATTACTAATAATAATAAATCTAAGTTAATATTAACACGTGATTCCAAGAAGTATGGAACAGATAGTGAATTAGAAAATATGTTATTATCAACTCATGGTTGTACAGTCTATCACTGCCATCGTGATGAAATTGAGTTTTAGCGGTTCTAGACAACTTTTAAACATTTAATCATAATCAAGGCTGGAGCATTTATGAATTATTAAATTTAAAATATTGTTGATATATAATATAAAAATAACTTAAACTAATTGTTTACGTACAATAATGTACATAATATATTACTTAACTAAATTATTTATATTAAATTAATAAATAATGGTGTTCACTATTAAAAATACAAACAGATATAATTATTCTATATCAATATATGAGTACCTAATTATAAAATCTTAAAATATACTTTTGTAAATAAAAACACATGATTACTTTAAATCGATAACAATTTTATTAAATTATAATTGTTATTTTATAAATATGTTGTATATACAAGTCTGCACTATTAAGAGATAAGCATAAAAATAAACATTTACACAAATAATCAGATTCAAAAAAATTTTTTTTTCGTCATATATAGTACAGCTATCTACTAAAAGTAGTTTATAAGAATTGTTAATAAAATAGTATATTATAGTTTAATTACAATTTAGTTCACATTAGTCATCTTATGAATACTGAAAAAAAAATTGAAAACTGTGGTGAATTTCCAATAAATGTCTACATTAATAATTTTCCATTTCCCGGCCGTAAAAAAGAAAGTTGATCGTAATCAGCAAACCCTTAATCATTACCTACTCTTGTTGTGTAATTCATATATTTATAGTCACGCGTTACATGTTCATTTTGATTTCGTGATTTTTTCAAAAATACTACTTTTTTTTTACACGAAGCGAATTTGTTAAGAATTAACCGTTATTTTTACTTTTTCGTTAAATTGTCAGCGATAATTTACAACAAAAAACTATGAGAATCTTATTCTTGAAAAAGTAACATGAATGAAACATAATTTTTAAAAAATAATACTATATATCATTTTGCAGTCAAAAAATTAAATTATTAGCATAAAAAATCAAGTTTCTAATTCTATCAACTTCGTCGATCTGCACTTTCTTTCATTTCTTCTCCATCTTCTGGTTGCGTTATTTTTTCAAGGTGATTTTGTTCTTTTCCTTCTGTTTCAGCTTCGAAATTTCGACTCACATCTTCGCTAAAGCTGCAATCTGCTGAGTGTATATCATGTTCTTTTTTCGACGATTTATTGCTGGAAGAACGTCGAACTGAAAAAGTTGTATCTTCAGCTTTCTTGTTTTCTTTACGTTTTTTTGTAGAAGCGTATTCAAGAACTTTTAGCCTCAACCCCTGAAATAATATTGGATTAATATATTGCTTGTGCCTTCAGGCTTCCAATGTATAAATGCAAATTCAAATTTAATTCTGCAACAACAAGAAAATCATATATAGCGTAGTAGAGGCCACTTATATGTATAAGATACACCGCAATTAAAATAGCATTCAGACTAGCATAGGCCGCTATGCTCAATTTTTTTTAATTGTTGCAAAATTAAACTTGAACCGGTGTACATACCACATCTGAAGGGAGGTGCGCTCCACCAACTTCAGATTCATCTTCACTAGATTTTGAACTACTATGGCTATCAGATGATGATAATTTGCTTTCATTGTGTTGAGTTTGTTCTGACCATTGCAATGCCTTAATACACTGCTTCAACATAGCCTTTATATCATCTGACTCTAATCTGAACAGAAATATCAATTGATTAGAATTGAAATAAATAATAAGTTAGATATATTTTTTCTTTACTTTGTAGATACTTGTTTATGCTGCTTCCCTTTTGATGATAAGAATACTTTAGTACTAGGGTCCCTTTGGATATTGGGGGTTGGTTGCTGCTGTTGCAAATGTTGCTGTAAATGCTGTTGCAATAATCTTGCGCTAAAATATTTAGAAAAATGTATGATTGTATAATTTATGAGTTAATTTAGTGTGCTTTACATATTTAAAATAGTTTAACTCACTCATGCATAGATCGTCTAATATCGGATGTCAAAGAATTTGTAGATGTAGGCGGTCGTGAAGTGAGAACGTTGCCATAATTTGGATACGTCGGAGGTACATAATTAGTATAATCAGAGTAAAAATTCGTTTGAACATGATCAGGTACTTTTGAACTTCCTGAAAGGTAGTTTTGTCTTGAATAACTAAAAATGAAAACATTTTTAAAATTATTTTTCATATAATATATCAAATTTTGATACATTCAAATACAATTATAACAAAAACGCAGGATTGTTAATTCAGTAATGTAAAATTAATTCATTTTGTTATTTATTCATATATTGAATTGTTAGTTGGACTCAGACAAAAATTCCATTGTAGTAGAAGTATCACTCAAAGCAAAAATGTGAAAGTAACGTACCTATTAGTTTACCAAAATACTTTAAGTCTTCGACATAATATTTCATGAATTTTTTTATTGCAAAGGAACTAAAAATGGTTTTTGAGAAGTCGTAGTTTATTATTTTATAGATTTTTGCGGGGTACATGAAATTTAATAAATAAGTATAGATCAATGGTCAATCGTTCAATTACCAGGACAATTAATTTTTGTCAACTCTTCAGTTGCATTAAAACAACAGTTGACTTACTTATAAATTTTATTGGTTGCATCTAATATTTTATATTTCTCGTAATATAATTCTTTTCTGCTATGACGCACTTCAAAATTCAATCTTGTATAATTTATATTTGGGTTGGGTAGAATGTTTCACCTATCAAACTACATATGAAATAATTTTACCCATCTATGTACTTAAATAATGACTCCGAAAATAAAATTTCAAATTTCTGATATATTATACTAATAGTACTTCATTACTATAATATTTTGCGAAATTTACTCATTACCTCCTAAAATTATCCCAATAGTTGTTGGCTCTGTTGCCTGGAGGAATTTGGTTATTCAGTTGAAGGGGTTGAGTTATCGGAGTTTGAGTAGATTGTCCGTTGGGTAAAGTTACTAAATTTGGTAACGATGAACTTGGTGGTAAAGTCATTGACGGATCTAGCGGATTGCAAAAGGATTGATGGTTACGATCCAAATTGCAATGGGTGGTGTCTTGAACAACACCAGTGTGCAAAAGAGAATGGACCTGTGTTTGCAAACTTTGCACTTGTCCCTGAAAATCATACCGTAAATTCATTTGTGAGAGAAAATTTTATTGGTACTATCTTCATTAATAATCATTACTTGGAGGCTGGACACAGCTGATTTCAGTGTTTCTATATCATTTCGCTGCATACTCATGATTTCAGTATAATTTTGTACTGTTGCCATTAAAATTTGTATTTGTTGAGATTGTTGAGAATGGATCAACATTTGTTTATAATTTTCCATAGAAGGCGTTGGTGATTCTTAAATTAAGTGACAATATTATTTTTTGAGATAATCACATTAACCATATGAGAGTTAGTGAATACATCATGTGTATTTTTTATACCTCCAACTGGTGAAGTCGTCTGATATCCAGAAGAATGATTACCCCAAAAGGACGCTGACGGTGGTTGAAACTGAGTCCACCAGAAAGGAGCTAAAATAATTTTGGTACATATCATCAATAACAGATAATCGAAACAGTTCATTGTAAATGTTAAATTACATGAATTGGGAGCTGTATTGTTGCATGAAGGTGCAGAAGGTGTCCAACGATTAAACATAGATTCATTCAGTAATAAAGGATTCATCTCCGCTGAATCTACACTTGGTGAATCAGACATATTGGATTGTTTAGCTTTTGATCAAAATAACGGATTAATTCTATTTTTTAAATTTATAAACAAAAATACTTGAATAATTTTTCCAATTACATACCATGAAAGTGAGCAGGTGCCCAACTTTTAGGTTGCTTTTCAACATGATTCTCTCGGGATAACGAGTTTTGTCGGCTGGAATGTGTCGACGATTTATCCTGAAAAATTTGTAATAATACATCATTTCAATTTTCAGAAATAAAAATTATATTACAAACCTTTTTGACATCATTTTCAACATGTTTATTGCTTTCTTTTTTCTCTGCAGAAATTTGCTGTTTATGTTGTTCATCAATCGCATCATTAGCTTTCTTTGACAGTTGCTCTTTCAATTTTTGTCGAAGTTCTGTTCGAGCTAAAAGCAACATTTTCTGTTGTTCTAGTAACTCTGCTGTAGCAGACTAAGAAGGACATAAATTATACGGTAATAAATATTGCTAGCATTGAATTGAAAATAAATGAAAACGTACTTGTACTTGCTGGTACATAGCTTTGCTTTCATTGGTCAATTGACGAACTTTGAAATCCTCGTCACACGTATCTGGCTCAGAAGAAGCATCTGGTTCAGAATTTTGGGCTTCTTCATCAAAGTTGACAAGCGGATTAGTTTCTTCAGATGCAGCTACATCATCATCATCATCATCGTCGTCGTCGTCATCAGTAGATCGCTTCTCCTTGTTCAATAAGGCTTGATTCATTACCGATTTAACATGTGCTAACTGAATTTTGAGCTTTTCAAGTTCAGCCAGCTTTGACTCGCGATCGCTACCAGTTGACTGAAAAATTATTCATGATTAATTGAGTTGTCTAAAATTCAACTTAACAATTACAACTAAAACTTACAGAGCTTGTTTTATCATTTACGTTAAACGAATTTAGCTCATCTACAAGCTGATCCATATTCTTTTTTTTCCTTTCCAAGCCGACTAGTTTTTGTCTTAAATCCAGGGTTTCTTTTTTCATGACTTTGTATTTGAGATTTTGGCGTACTTTTTCGTTTTCTTCGATTTCCTCCTGTATTTCGGCCGCTTCTCGTTGGACTCTACGAAGCTGATCGAGGCCCTCACGCGCTTTGTGCGACAAGTCTTGGGTTGCATGTTGCTCGTCCTTCAACTCTTGCAATTTTTGCTCTGTTAATTCGAGTTTTTTACGCAAGTTGACTCCACCATCCTATAAAATAGTTAGCAATGAGTAAATTTACCATTTTACAGACAAATAATATATAACTGTACCTCCTCATCCTGCCAAAATTTTTGCGAACTCTCGAGAAGAACGCTCAATTTTTTCTCACTGTCTCGCAGATCTTCGACTATTGTAGCTAATCTATTGTAATGCTCCTTGGCTCTCTGGAAAATCAAATTGAAATAATTTAGCACGATTATCATCTGAATTCGCTAACTCTGAAATTGTTGAACTTACGGGATCGGTCGATAGGCAGAGTTCATCCATCGTCTGCGTAGTATCATTGATGTAACCCTGAATTCGCTTCAAATTTCTCTCAACTGTAGCTCGGCTTGGCTAATCGAAAAGTAGAACAAATGGACGTTAATATCGATCGAGAAATTTCAACTTCAACTGTTTGATTTTTTATTATTATAAATAATAATAATAAAAATAAAACTCACCAACTTAGTATCGGTATTGGTCGGCTTGTCCATCGCAGATTCAAGCTTTTCTAATTTATCTGCCTGTAAAGTCGGTAGCATTGTAGGTAGCAAAGACTCCAAAAACTTGGCGTGCTGAACTCGATCGAAATGTGCCCAAGCTACGACCAAAATACGAAAGAGCACAAATTTAACAATGCTTTTATTTTTGTTGGGTTTATTAACGAACACCCGCCAACACTTGACGTGGTGGTTCGGCGAGAAAACCGCCAAAATTTGGCTAGGATTAATAATATTTTCGTTAAATGGTTGTATTCGGGTGATCATTAATAATCAATTAATCATTATCAATTCAGCAAATTCGACCCACCAATTTAAAAAAAAAAACCGTCCCTAATAATCACGGCTAAATAATAAAAAAAAAAAATTGCACTCACAAATTTCTGGATATCGACTGTCTTGAGAAGAAGACTCTTTGGGAGATGTCGAACTTGTATTGCTGTTTTTGGGTGTAGTATCGTCAATAGTAGTTCCCGGGTTCGCTTGCTGACGTTGTCTGACGCACTCACTGGTAGGAATCGTATCGCCAAGAAGGTACTGCGTTTTCAAAATTTACACATATAGATTATTTTATCAAGCCCGACGTCTTTTGCTCACATGTGCCGTTTCCGTATTACTCTGTTTCCCGTTACGCTATTAATAAAAGCCGAGAAAGTGTAAGCGCGAGTTACTCAATAGAATTTAGTGTAAAAATAGACGACGATGTCCGCAGTCGTGAGGTATTGTCGGTAACTTCGCGCAACAAATTCACGTCGTACTCGAGTAAAGTACAAATATGATCAGCAAATCAAGTGAAAATTTTGTCGTAACGGCTGTGTTCAATATCGAAAAACAAATAAAGGGTTTCAAAGTGTTTTTTGCAAAAATGTCAAAAAGTGAATTTTGTTAGTAACTTTAGCACAAAAAATGTGAATATTCTGTATTGTTTGTAGATAAATAAATTTGGTTTACAGACAATAATAAAATTATATTCTTTTAACAGTTGTCCAATTAATTATAGTTTGCATCAAATATTTAAAATTATTTGTATGTGAAAATTGAATGTTAAAATATGTTTATATTTGCTGAATTAAAATACTCACTCCTGTCGCAAGCTGTGAATGTCTGTGGGATTCAATACTAGAAGTTGACATAGGGGGTATTGGTGTTATTATACATCCATTCAAGCGTATTGTTTCATTTCTTGATTTAACACTCAATGTACGACCATAACAGTCTGTTTTTGGCACAGTTCCAGTGTATGAAGGGTTATTTGGAAACATGATGGTAAAAAATGCTCAATATTCCTTTGAATATCTATAAAATAAAAGTAAACTTTCAGTATAATTTAGCAATGAATAATTGATGAAAACACAATTAAACGATAAGGGATTTTGTAAATGAAGTAACCTGCTTTTTGTATATTTGAAGTATTATTAAATAGTCGCAATAGAGAAGTGTAAGTATTTAATACACAATAATACTGTAAAGGAGTTGAATATTCACAATAATTAATAAACAACAAATATGCTTAAACTACCAAATCAGCGCTGAATTATATATATTGTATAGGTTATATCAGTATTGAAATAAAAGCAACCACAGAAAATTTAATAATGCTCGAATAAAGTTATTGATAATATAGCAACTTAAATCATTGCCTGGCATGGCATATTAATGGCTATTACAATCTCTACAAAGTTACTCGACGTTGATATGCTGAAGATAAACAAACTTACTATAAGGAACAATTTTCAAAAATTCACGTATTTAGCGATTCAACGCGATTTTGACACGATCGTTGTTTATGTTTTGATTGTGAGTGTGACGACAAACAACGTGTAATGACAAAACACGTTGAGCGACACATCGCCATAAAATAACCAGATGGCGCTGCAGATAGGTATACGTTATTTAAACTTGACGAAAGCGCGCTTAAATGTTTTGGAGAAATTTTTATTGACAAAATCAGATGGTGGCCACTGGCCGGTCGAGTGAGACAAAGTCACATTTCAGGACGGATATTCATTGGGGTTCCCCATACTGCCAATGCGCTGTTTTTAATATTCAAATTTTTCGAGTTTTTATAAGAAGCGACTAAAACTACTACGAATTCAGGATTATCATAAATCGTGTGTCAAATGTTAAATAACGAGAGAATTAATAATTAACGTGGTTGAAAAGTTCGTTTGAACGATGTATTTATATTTGTGTAACTTTACCGATATTTTATCGATGAACAATGGCCCGCGGCCAAAAATATGTAATCTCTCGCTATCTCGCTAGCTCGCGCAGGATCTGTTATGATGTTTCGTCTTCTTATTGTGTTCATAAGAAAACACATTGCCTAAGCCAACTTAGTTGATAGTGGCTACTGTGGTAAGTCACACACAACTTTATCTTAAATACCGAAATGCTCACGGTATCCATTTGACTATTAATTTTATTTCAATTCGTTCGTGGTGAAAATCGACTAATTTTTTTTAATTACGTCGGCTTACTTATAGATTGAATATTTGGTAAGTACATAAATCGCAGGTAAATGTTTAAAAAAATATCTGTTTCAATCAAACAATGCGCCTGTAACTGCATTACTACACACAACGTGTATGAAACGGTGTGATTTTTCTTGTAATAATTTTGTACGTACAAAATATCCAGGGTTTGTAGTACATTAACCGTAGATGCAATAAAAATAATGTCCTTAAATGTCCTTTCGATAATTTTAATTTCAGAGAATTAACAACTCCATATAGTACCGACGAATAAAAAATATTGCTCTCTCGAGGAACAATGCAGCATCAACAGGCTCAGCGATCCACAACAATCAAGTCACCACGGATCAATTATCCTTTGACAAAAAAAATGAATCTCATTGAAATGAGCATGATGAGCGGCTGTGAAATTCTGCAGCATCAAGAGCAGGACAATCGTCGATCGACGGCGTCTGACTCGCTGAATCTCGTCGTTGATTATGCAGCAGTCGGCCTCAATGCCAGTGCTATATTTAACAGTATCAGTGAGTTTTTTACCAATAAATTTTCACAAAATTACTCTAGGTTTGAAAAGTCATTCTTTCGTAGTGAATAACAAGAGGAACGAAGAGCTGCAGTCGGACATCGATGAAATCGTGCCGACGCTCATAATGGACAGCAACGAGCAGTTGATGCTGCAGGAGCAATTGTCCTTGGAAGGTAGATACATGACTGAATCGATAAAATTTGATTATTCATCCGATACGGAGGAAAGCTATTCCAGTGATAATGCAACAAATCGATGCACTCTGTCTACCGGAGGTCTATCCTCAAACGAAATATTTAACCCTGTCGTTGGCGCTGGTTTAAAAAGGATCTTTAAATACTTCGATTTTGATTATAACGTAACTTAAATCCATTCAATCATTCAGTACAATAATATTTAAATTCCATAACTGTTCTTAATTTTTATTCAGAGGAAAGATACTATTCGGATAACAGACGTAAAGAAGTACCATGATTTGTCTGAATTTAATGAAACCAAAAATCAATTTTCTCAGTTAGAAAACAATCAGTTCAAGACAAGGACATGCGTCGATCTCGAACAAGCGTCAAAAAAGCGAAAGGTAAATTTTTATTTCTCATCCATTAGTGAGTACTCTTACGTAAATTAAGCTTTATTAATAGAAGAACGAACCAAAAAACGTCAGCTGCATCAAGTGCACCAAAAAATTTCGATCCGAAGGGCATATGAAAGTCCATTATTACTCGCACGATCCCGAGAACAACTCTGTCGCGGTTGGATGTCAAATGTGTGCTCGCATTTTCTGCCATCGAGGAGCACTGAACTTGCATCTCATGAGAAAACACAAGTTGAGCATCAGTGAATTGAAAAACTCAGATTCAAAAAATAATCGACGATGATTTTTTTTAAGCCTGAATATTAGACGATATACGCTACCAAACATTAACTGGCAAATTTTTTGAAACGGAGAAACAATCGTTTATTTTCAAAACTATTTTTAGTTTAGTAATTGATTTTAATTTTTAGGATTGTGAACTTTTAATTAATTTTTAATGTTTCCATTTTGAACAAATTTAGTTCCTTTTTTATACTAATTAATTTAAATGATGAATCAAAATTTTGTATTAAACTTTCTTCGATGAACATGTACCACACACGAGGATGTGTAAATCATATCATCTTGATATTTTTAAGATGATTTCGAAATGATTTTTTCATTCCTGGAAAGTTCTTATCCATGATTAAATATCTTACTTTTATGATGGATTTCGTACATACATCAACTTGCGTGAGTAATCTTATTTAATGTACAGAGAGGTTTGTTATAATGAACTAAAATATTGAAATAAAATAAGTACATTCTAATTCCTTTTAAGTTATTATTTTTTATTTTCTTATTAGTACAGTATAGTAACCATATAAAAACGTTCTGGTTATTACTTATAAGTCACTTTAAGAAAATATAAAAATCATTCAAAAATTATTTATTTGTGTTAACAATTTTATTTTTAGTAGAAAAATAATTTATTTTCATCAACAGTACGAGTACAATCACAAACAGTATAATTATTATCCAGTAGGATTCTATATAACAGTTTAAAAATCAGTTGATTTTTTATAAAATGTCAGAAATTTTTATTTCGCAAAAACAAGTGTGAAATAAATTATATTTTCGAATGGTTTATTCGGTTCAAAGTGAATGCTATAACTGAAAACAAAATTATTTAAATTTGAATTATTAGTATCTGCTATAAGCCTCCTTAAAAACAAAAATTGTTGAGCATACAGTAAAAACTTGAATTAATCAGTACTAAGAAATGTTGTATCAGTCTGTAAAAGATTAATCTTAAATAGGATTTTACATTAAATTATAATATAAGAACAACAGTAAAATCTATAAAAGACGTTATTCCTTTATCAATCAGTCTTTAAGATTTGTGATGATTTTTGGTATAGATTGTTTTATAGGAGCGATAAATAACGATGAGGGTGATCCGTGTAAGATTTTTTTTGAGAAAATTCCATCAAACCAGGGCCAGTAGAGGTGGATGCTTTTCCTCGAGAAGATGTAGTTTTACCTCGGGAAGATGAAGCTCTACCTCTGGAAGAAACGCCTCTACCTCTACCCCTATACATAAAAAAATTATAATTAATTATGTATGTTTTAACAGTCATGTTTTTGTTTAAAACTTATATACTTATACAATAATACAGAGCAATCCCAGTTAACTTATAAAAACTGAAAAACACCCTCGAATATACATCCTTTACCAAGTAATAAAATGAATTTTTATTTCAATCGCGCAGTGTTTCATTACTGCATACCCAGTAACTTTATCAAGCTTATGTGATGTTCACGCACCAAAAATCAGCAAGTCAAGTTGATGCATGATCATGTTTGTTTGTCAGTTTTTTGAAATTATATTGTAGGATTACCCCGTATCATTGTGTAAATACATAAGTTTTCAATAAATCAAAATTTGGAGACAAAGCATTGATTGTAATACTTTCTAAAAATTTCTGCCTATAAACTTACCTAGATTTTCCTCCCCTGGCACTTCCAGAACGTTTGAATTTTTTATACGTTCCTCCACGGCGAGAAGGTCTTCTTTTAACACCAGTTTTTACTACTGAGTTTACTGTTTCTCTCCAATCGTCATCTTCCATACTTTCTTCAAAATCATTTTCTACTGTTTCAATTGCCGTTTTAATAATTTCTTTCTTCTTTAAAATTTCTGAAATGTTTTATGTTAAATGAACTGTCACAAAAATTTATGTGTATTAAATTTTATAAAATACCTTTTCTTTGTTCTGCATATTTCTGAATGATATCCATCAAGGTTTTACCGTACTTGTCGTAATTAGCTTTGGTCACATGAGGAATACTTAACATTTCCTCTTCAGTTTCTGGTAATCGCTGGCTCATTACTCGCACGGCTACCATATTCATTATAGAATTAGACGACACTTCCAGTGCATCTGCGATTCCATTTACAATTTGGGCTAGTTCAGTGTAACAATTTTGCTCTAATTCTCTCAGTTCGTTATCACCCGCCTTGGATATACTAGTCACGGTTGCTATCGCATTTGATTTTTCAGAAGGCTTTTTATTTTTTATGAATATCTAAAAATATTTGTAATTTATTTAACTGATTTTTCAATTTTTTAATTAAGTAATTAATCGAAAAGTACCTTTTTGTTAGAAATCATAAGATCTTGAGCTTTTGGACCTAATCCAAGATATCCACAAGCTATTTCATTAGTTATATACATTTCTTCTTTAAGATAATTTTCAAGCACTAATTTATGTAACACTCTTTCTAAATCAGATCTTGTCCATGATTTTCCTTTACCAAAATATTTGTGCTTATCTTGACCTTTGCGAATTATAATTTATTTTAGTAAGCATGCAATGAAGAGTTTTCTTAATGCAAAATTTCAAAAATGTATATTTGAGAATGTATACCTGAATCTCTAATTTTTTGTAAATTACTGCCCTTATAGATATCAATAAGTTGCAATACAGTAACTCTTTGCGATCGATTTTTCGTCAAGTCTCTCACAAGTGTAATAAGAGCTTTTGCATCATCTGTTACATCTTGTTCAACAAATTGTCCCTAAAAAAATTAAGAAGGAACCAATGATTTCAAGTTATTAGAGGATTAAGAACCAAGGGAAAAACTTACTTGAAGTCTGCAATTATCGCAAGCTGTCGCTTTATTAGCTATGCATAGTTCACGGTCGAACAACTCACCAAAGTAATTTAATTGTATAGCTCTGCGGCAGTCTGTTATATTTTCACAGTAAGCAACCATTTTCATAAGATTTTCTTCATTTGTCTTTTTAGCTTCAGCGCTGGAAGCGTCCAGTTGTATCATTTTTTTGTGTCTATACATGTCCGCATAATTGTAAAACAATATACATTCCGCATTTTCCGAGTCACGTCCAGCTCTGCCACTTTCTTGATAGTAACCTTCTATAGACTTTGGAAGTCCTGCATGTATAACAAACCGAACATTTGGTTTATCGATTCCCATTCCAAAAGCTATAGTAGCGCAAATTACTTTTATCTAGATAAACAAAAAATTTAAACGTTAATTATAAAAAATTGATAATGGCTTGAAAAAACAAAAACATTTTTATTTTACTTTTTCTGCTATCCATTTTCCTTGAATGGTTGAACGTTGCTTATCAGATAGTCCTGCGTGATAGCTCATGGCTTTAATTCCGTTTAATTTCATTTGCTCTGCATAATCATCACAATCCTTACGAGATATGCAGTATACAATACCACATTCGTTTTTGAATTTAGCTTGTATCATACCAGTTGCTTCATCTGAGGAGCTCTTTCCTTTTTTTATAATTACTCTATATTGCAAGTTGGGTCTATTAAAACTCGACATGAACCTAAAATTATGTATATCAAATTAATAAATGAAAAAATCGTCAGTTACATGAATGTAATTTCAGAAACCATTTTGGCGTTGTCATTCCTAGCTGATTTAAAATATCAGTTCTAACTCTTGGAGTAGCTGTAGCTGTTAGTGCCATGGTAGGCACATTAGGATAATTTTCTCTTAATATTTTCAATTTTTTATAATCTGGTCGAAAGTCGTGACCCCATTGACTGACACAGTGGGCCTCGTCTATAACAAATCTACTTAATTGTCCTCTTTGATAAAGAGCCGTTAAAGTAGATATCAATTTTTGTGATATAGATATTTTTTCTGGTGTTACATATAAAAGTTTAAGTGTAACTTCTTTTTTACACAATTCCCTATAAACAGAATCAACTTGAGCCTCAGTCAAATCACCAGACATATGAGTAGCTGGAATCTAAATGAAAAGAAATGCAAATTAAGATTTTTCTTAGTTGCAAATATAGTTTTCAAATTCAAACTTACATCCAATGAAAGTAATTTTTGTGTTTGATCTAATATAAGACTCTTTAATGGTGAAACAACTATTGTTAGTCCAGGTGACATTAGCGCTGGTAATTGATAGCACAATGATTTACCGCCACCCGTTGGCATCAAAACAAAACAATCAAATCCCAAAATAGCAGCATTTATAGCTTGCAACTGGTTGGGTCTAAATTCATATAAACCAAATTTTTTTCGAAATATCTGGAAAAAAAAATTTTAACAACATTAGGGATAAATAATTTAGGTCAGATTTTATTGGTGTATTAACTAAAATAGTTTTAATGAATGCATAGTTTTTTTATATTTATAACTACTAGTAATAATGTATATTTACCTGTAGCATTAATTTAGAAAATGGATATTCAAACCCATCAAAATCCCCACTAATGCCATCATTTTTGAAGTTTCCAGTAAATTTAGTTTCTGTACTAGTTTTTGAAAAATTTGGTTTGTTTAAGTAGTCATCATCTCCAAACATTTTTTTGAAAGAAGTTGATTTATCGTTCAAACTTTCTTCTTTGGTAGAAACTATAAAACAATCACTTTCTCTAGATTGCAATGACAAGTTGATTTCATTATCTGGAAGATTCAATGTAATTTTTTGAATAAAAATCAATGCAAAAGCATCATACAAAAAAAATTTCAAATCTAACTTCTACAACTTACCATAACTATCGTTATAATTATTCCAGTGATCATTGCTTTTGTTAGATTCTGCCATAGAGGTGGAGTTTTCATGATAATTTCTTTTACCTAAACTCATTTTATTCATTTTTTTTGGAGATGGTGATGGAGATTTAGAATCCAAAATACTTGTATCACAGAAAGATGTAGTTGAATTTAAATAATTAAACTCATTGTTTTCTGCATATGATTCTGCGACATCAAATTGATTTGTTCTTTCTTCATTATCAGGAATTATAATTGCATTTTTTTTATTTTTATCCATCATTTCAGTTAATTTTTTTGTTACTTCTGGAGACATTTTTGTTTTGACTGGTATTTTAAGTTGGAACTGACTTTTCTTTTTCAATTTGTCAGAGGGAGAAGATCCTGGTTTAACCAAATAATCTTGCTCCTTGTTTTGGTTAATGGCATTTGTGATTTTGGAAAGAGAAAGAGATTTTTTAAATTCATTTGTTACCTCAATTTTATTAGGTCTTATTTCTCCATTATTATGATGACTGATTTCATTTCTATCACGTTTACAATTTGATTCTGCAAAATCTTGAAACAGATCATTATAGTTTGTACTATTGATTGACTCTTTTTTAGTATCAAGAGATATCAATCGTCTTTCATTTTGACGAATTCTACATCTAACTTTCTGTCGAATACTTTTTAACTTTTGGAATGTTTCTGGTTCAAATTGAGGAAACTTTGACAAAACTTCAATTGGCATGTTATCCATAGCATTGTAGAACTTTTCCAAAATTTGAATATCAATATCCTTTAAAGTGGAATCATTCTCTTTCAACTTTTTTTCAGTGTCCTACAAATTATTAAATAATGTTTTTTGCACATTATAAAATGTAAAGATAATTAAATAATTTTATCAACTTACTGCAGATGCATGTGATGAAATCAAAGGATCTTTTTTCAAAGATTCAATCCATTTATCAAGTTTATTGTCCAGACCAAGAGGCTTTAAATGCAATTTCACATCTGGTCCTTTCCAAACTTTTTTTGGAGATTCAAATTTCTGTGTCATATAAGAACTTTTTGATCCTTTCAGAGAATCGACTGGTGAATCAAGTTTGTTTTTTGTGTCATTTTTACCAAACAACTCTTTCTCAACGACATTACTATTATATGAATCACTGTCATCAGATTCACTTATTATAGTTGCTTTGGTCGACCTCTTAAATGATTTGAAATTTAATCTCTTAGGAACAATCACTTCATCGTCAGATGACAATAAAGATGTGAAATCTTCTTGGCAATTTGCCTTCATTTTGTTAAAATCACTCATTGATATATATTTTACATACAAATTAATGTTTCATTGCGAAGTTTTACAAATTTTTGATGAATTAAAAAGTTAATCATGATTCATTCACACTTCTGGTTGCACAATCACTAAGTATCAACTCGAAACTTAACAATTAAATCGTGTTTAATGCGGAAGAAAAAATAAACAACAATAACGAAAAACAAGCCGCCAAAGCGATGCAATTATCATAACCTCAGTAGTGGTATGGATTGTGCAGCGGGCAGCCGTCAACCGACAGCCGCCAGCCGCAGCTCTGTCGTCTGCAAATTTTGTTTGGATCATCTCACTAATCTCACTAAAAATTTAAAGTAAATTCTTATACTAGGTGTAGTTTCAATTTCGAAAGATCGAAAAATATAAAAAGTATGAGGTAGTGCAACACAATCGACTTTTTAGTTTTCAATACATCAGAAAAATAGAGAAATGAGAAATTACATGTTATATCAAGAATATTTGCAAAATAACGAGACGATCGTTGATAAAATTTAGAGTCGATCTAAATGATTTTTTCGAATTCTAACGGAATCACTGATATCCTGTATTTACCTCCAAACATTAAATAAATCAATTTTTTTTTTAATTTTATTTTTGTTTAATAGAATCTGACAATTAGACTGTTTTAAATCACGATACGCTTTGCGCCTTTGCCGATTATTTGAATGATATCGATTTCATGAACTTAGCTATCGCTTGTTATGTGAAGGGAACAATTTAATATAAATCATATACACTAATACACAATAAATAATTTTTTAATAATGCAAACACCATTTTACTGTAGTATTGTTGTAATTACATTAATGTTGACATTTTTCTTATATTCTTACTCATTAGAATCAATATATGCCACAAAGCTTTTAAATGAAAAAACATTGGGAATACCACACAACTGTTATTGTTTTGTTTTTTATCACATTTATTGTATCTGGACCGCATCAACGAAGTTCATTTTCTGCCAACGATTAAAAAAATAATTTAAACAATAATATTTTTGTCCGTTAATTCGTGCTAATAAAGTTTTTAATGACCATATAAAAATGAGTCTAAAAATTAAGTCTTTAATTTATCAAAATGAGTGTGAAAAATTCATGAATGGCCCTTTATGCGAATGGGTAAGCAATGAATTGTTTGTTGGTTATTTTGAAACTTAATATTTTTGTAATTAACCAATTATGCGAAATTTTTATTTTTAGTTATGTAACTGCTTAGATTTACAAATAAAGAATTTTTACAAAAAACCGACGTATTCAGATTTAGTTGATGGCATGCTGATGCATCAAGTTTTTTTGATGACGTAAGTTTTTTTTTAAAAAGTAAAGTACATGGATACATATTTTTCTTTTATATATTTTTTAATAGTAATGATAATTATGAAATGATCACACTCTAACGAATTTATAATATAATTCAAGGGATCTAAATGTTGTAACTAAAGATATTAACGTACCCAATGGAGACCCTATACAGAGATTAGAAAATCTAAGAGCAATACTTGATAATATCAAATATTTTTTTGAAGAAGAATGCAACCTCTTACTTGTGCAAGTTCCCAAAATTCATCTTCTTGCAGAAAAACCTATGAACAATATTAAAGAAATGGAACTTTTATTGAAGTTATTATTTGGCTGTTCTTTAAAATGTCCACGACTTTCTATTTTTATGAAAATAATGGAAAAATGCAAAGAATCAACTCAAATGGAGTTGATAAAGTATGCATCTGAGGTAAGAAACGGTATTGATATTATTGGAAATATTAAAATAGTAAAAAAAGTTAAAATTTAATGTCAATTCATTTGATATTAAAGATGACCGAACGTTGTGATGTTATATTTGATCCTGAGCTTGTGCTACAAGAAGATTTTAATAAAAGTAGTATATACGACGCTTTAATATTTATTCGTTCAGTATACAAAGAAAATATCATATGCCAAAGTGAACATTCTGATTTTGCATACAATACAAAAGAAAAACTAGAAGAAGCTCAAGAAGATTTACAACATTTAAATATTAAATTTCAAAAAGTTAAATGTGATTTACAAGATGCAAAAGAAAATTTGTATCACCACGAAACTTATGCTAATAATCTTAAAAAAGAAAATCAAATTCTAGGTCTTTCATTTCATATAAATCATTGATAGATTTTTTATATTTCATTTATACCGATCTTTAATTGATATTTTTAGAAAAAGAAGCTACAATTGCAAGAAAATTACGAGATGAGCTTGATATTGCAAAGGAAGAATTGCTTAAAGCAAGAGATTTAATAAAGCAGTTGAATCAAAAAGCAAGAAGTCCTATTTATCTATTCGAACAATCCAAGTATTTAGCTGTAAAGACCAATGAAACAAAATTAAAAGATGAAGCAAGATATACAAAGTTACAAGTAGAGAATTTGTTAAAAAAGAACAAGTTCTTGCTAAAAGAAATACAAAATCTTCAAGAAAAGAAAGATAAAAATAAGAGTGATCTTGAAATAGATTTGGAAAAAAAACAAAGACAAGTTGATGATTATAAAAAGATTTGTGAAAAATTATTGAACGAGAATGCATCACTGCAAAATAAGCATAAAAGTTTAATAAGTCAATTATTATTTCAGAAAAAACATTATTTTAAATGAAGATTAAATTAGGAAATGATAATAATATGGTTAGCTTATATTTTCAACATTTTCATTTTTTGTTTTTATTCATAAACCTGTATAAATTTGATAGACAAATTTATCTGAATAAATTAAAATACATAAAATGTATAAACTTTTATTTTCATTAATTGTTATAATTATTTACACCCCTTAGTTTGTTCTTGATCGTTCTAGTCTTGATCGGGTTCAGTAAAGTTGGCAATCAGTGTTAAATACATTTTTTATGCTGGGATATTTGAAAAAGATAAACAAAGAGTAGCAGCCAATTCTAGGAATAGTAACAGTTGGTGATGACTGTCGAGCGGTAAACATGAGTATCGCATATAATTGTTTTTGTATCGCAAACGGTTTTCTTTATCCTTGTGAGGGTCGATCGCCTAGAAGTTTTGAAGCATATGAACGAATGCATGTACGATCCGGAAACATTATTTGTAAAACACTTGCTTGAATCTAGAATCATCGACGTTATCGAGAGTTCTGTTTTGTAGTTTAAATTGACGGTTAATAAAGTTGACACTTCCGTCCGCAATTCTTTTCCAACTATTCTTACAGAAAGTGAATTGTGCATCAAGTTTTATAACATCATCTTGGTCTTGAAATATGGAGAAAAAAATAGATTCATTTACCGAGAGTACCGAAGAACAGTATGATCAATTGAATTTTGAAATATTTGATGAACATACAGTAGAAGTTGAGAGCATCGAAGTGGAAGACCACGAAAATCATACTGTTCAATCTGAAAATCAAATTGTAGAAGGTGAGAGTGAATCTGAATATCCAAAATTGGAATTTGAAAATAGCGAAACAGAAGATTCCATATTGGACGTTGAAAATAGTAAATTGGAAGATCAGTTATTAGCAGATGAAAGTATGGAATTGGATGATCAAATAGTAGAAGTAGAAAATATTGATTACAGCGAAAATGATGTATTTTACAATAAATCTCCAACAACTACAATGTCTGAAGTTGTTCTGGCATATGAACTAGAAAATGCACAATGTTCTTCAGCGATTGAAAACAATAGTCTTTATGAACCCAAAGGCTTAACGAAACTTTTATCTATAAGATTAGATAAACCAATTTCCCATCATTATGATAAAGTGTCACTTCGTGATGAGTGAGTTTGAAAGATTTTTCTTTTTGTTTTTTTTACAAATTTTTTTATACCTTCTATATTACAGGATTAACAAAGTTATGGATAAACAAAAAGAACTTTCAAGAAATGTAGAACTTGCAAAAGAAATTGTAACAAGTTTTTCCATGCAAGCTGTTTCTAATGTAATAAATGAAACTAATATTAACTTTTTAGTTTCTGGTAAGATTATTTATCATATATCTAATATTACATATAATACAGAAGTTAATATATATTTTAGCTACGTTACTGTTACAAAAAGTATTAACAATGTTAGAAAAACAAGAACTACAACTGCTTGATTTACAGCAATCAATAGAGCATCTGCCTCCGCTTGAAGTTTTAGCAGATTATGTATGCAAAAAAAATGATTTGCATTTGTAAGTTTTATAAATCATGAAAATCACTAATTTAATGCTTTTTCATTTTGTAATTTATCTTTTGCTAGAAACTCTGATAATGAAAAAAATACAGATAATTTAAAACGATTTTATGTAAAAAATGAGGTAAGTTTCAGTCTTCAAATGTTTTATTTCTCTATAATTTATATAAATATGAATTCTTACTTATTCAAAAATTTTTTGGTAGGAGAAATTAAAAAAGCGCATTGTTAACTTGGAAAAAAAACAGAAAACCCACGATGATAAACTAAAAGAAAAAAACAAAATAATCATCCGTCTTAAAAAAAAAATTTTTATTATGAGGTAATTTTGATCATGAGTGATAAAAACACAATTTATCAAAAGATCTATATAACAATTCTTTTTTTAAAACTATAGAAAACAGTTGAAAATAGCCGCTTTTCCTCCAGATGAAAGTAATAATTTATCGTCTACGCAGGTTTGAATATCATTTTATTTGTATAAGATGACAGAATAATTACTTATAGTTTTATATTTTCCCTTTAGATGCAAAAGGTGAAGGAATTAGTAAATATCACCAATTCGCTAGTGAATAGCATTAGCAAGAAATCAAATTACAATCCATTTTTTAAACAAATGTTAGAAAAGAAAGACAACAAAATTTATGAGTTGAATGGCACAATTGAAAATTGTAATAAAGTGAGTGGTAAATTAATGAGTTAGCAAGTGATCTGAAAATTATATTTCAAGCATATATATATATGTATTTTTTTATAGAAATTAAAACAGGCCCTTCAAAGAGAGAAAGAGTTGAAAAAGAAGTGTTTTATACTAAAGAAGAAAAATGAAAACATTTGTAAAAAAAAAGATGTAGAAATTTTCAATCTAACATCAGCAATCGAGCGGCTAAATAAGAAGCATGACAGATGGATAATGGATCGATTTTATCAAAAATGTCATTCTACCATGTTATTTGAAAAAGTAAGAAAAGTCGAGAGAAAACAGAATGAATTATTGAAGAAAGAGAAGCTAAAAAAAACTTGAAAAAGTATTATTTGTTGGTATTGTATGTTATTGTATTTTAGAATAATAACACGAATTGCTTAAATGTTTTATTCTCATTTATATTTACTCCCAAGTCATATTATTTTATAGTTTGTTTCCCCTACTCTTGTGTAATCTCAATCTACTTAAGACCAGATATACCGTATTATTATTGTAGAAGGTAAAGGTCATCGCTTTCTTGTACATTGTTGTTTTGAAATTTTCACGAGCTGAAAGGTCCTAAATCAGTTGCCTAAAACGAACGATATAATTCAAGTGCGAATTATATATCCCAATCAATCTCGTTTCTTGTCATGGATACCAAAAAAAAATTTTCGTGGGCCAAAAACGGCTTCTCTAAGTGTCCGTTCCCAGTAGCGAAATTCAAAACATCCAAGTTTTTGCCGATTAAGGAAGAGCACGCAGCCTTATGCCTTCAATGTAATCAAATTCTTCACAACACCGTCGACGATCGTCTTCAAAGTCATAGGTAATTTTCACATTTTTGTTGGCATAATTTTCATGAATAAATAAAACGTTTAATTGTTAGAAAACGATGCATCTGGGTTCCAAAAAAAGTCGATAAAGCCACCAACACTTCCTTAAAAGCCGAACCAGCAAAGATTAAGCAAAGAAGTACATCAGTTCCGAGACGAGTTTCTATCGCAAGTTCAACTGCTCAAAAAGAGCACTTTGCCAATCATAAATTCAAAAAAGAGGCTACTTATTCAGAACGCATAGAACAGTTAAGGCAACTTGTAGCTCAACTTAATGATGAGATGAAAGAGCTACTGGTAGTCGAGCAGTCCGTGGCCCAATCAACTCCATGCCGAAATATCAACATTCAGCCTATCATCGAAGCCACTAACATTAATCAAACTCCTATATCTCTAGGTGAGTACATCGTAATAGAGGCCAATTTTTTTTTAATTGCTTCCAATTTGCATTTGTTTCAATTACAGTGTGCCGAGAATTGAATAATACCATTAATGACATAAACAACAATCAAGTCTCTGTCTCTTCAGCCACTAAAGAAATGAAAATTCCAACTTTGCAGGAACGCAAATCTCGCCTTGAAGCAGCTCAAAGCTGCTCTTTAGCATCGTCAGTCATTGAAGATCTCGAAGTCTCGAAATTGAATCGAAATCGCGATAGCAGTTTGCGACGTCTCGTTATGGAATTTGAAGATTCAAAAGCTATCAATGAACAATCGAAGGAAAAGAACGATAACCTTGTTAAAAAACAATACGATAATTACGAAAAAGTAGTAGCATTACTGGAACAACGTAAAAGTGCCAAATGTAATTTGGCACGACGAGGACGTTTAGTTAAAGAAGCAACTTCTGAACAGTAATTTTTTTACTCGATTTTTCTTCAATAGATATTTATTTTATACAATAAGTAAAAAGTCTCTGAAAATTATCTTGTTATTTGTATCAACAAATTTATATATTGATACTCTGTCAACCAATTTAGTTATAGCTTTTTCTATTTAAAATAATTGAATAATATAAAATTTTAAAAATATAAAATGAGTCATTTACTTGCAGTACACTTTATTGAATCTTGTCTTTGAGAGGGAAAATTTTCTTTTAGGATTTATCGGCATTAAAGGTAGCGTATATCGTTTGATTACATTCAATTATGAATTTCTTACAAAAAGTGTAATTATTTGAACAAATTGATTACATTATAATATTAAAAAAAACCTTGTCTACACCAAAGCAGAGGTCTATGATTGTGATTCGGTCAACAAAGGTTAACATCGATTAAATTTAACGCTACATACAATGAACAATCAATGAAACATTTTTTAGTTATAAGAATCATATTGGTTCTGTAAACATACTAAAGAATCAAATTCTTTCAGTCATTTTACTAATAGTTGCTTTCTTTGCATAAGAGCATTGCAATAGGCAATGGCTTGTTCTCTCGATTCGCATTTATTATCCAAATAAGTTGATGAATCCGTAATGAATTCATCCTGGTTACGGCTCATTGGAGTTGTAATAAATTCTTGCACCGCTTGACGTGGATGATTGTATTCAAATTTAGGATCGTTGGATTTTATGATATTCGCCAACGTTTCATCGTCGAGGTACTTTAAAATTTTTTCCACTACGTGAGTTGATACTCGATTGTTAAATAAGCCCGCAAGAACGGTTTCGGCCTTTCTCATTTCTCTTCTCCTTGCTAAGCCTTTACCATACTGCGTTATTAGACGTTTACCAAAATTAGGATAAATCTGATCGATTGAGTCGAGAGAGCTTTTGAAAAGGGGCGTATCGAGCACTTGTTCGACGTACATTGAATTCTTGAACATGAGATCGTAAAAGCTGCAGAAAAAGTTAATCTTCGCAGATTTCATTTTTTCGAGTTCCTCGCGTAGTTGTTGGATCAAGTCTTCAGTCAATTCGGGATGACATCCGGTATTAGCATTGTAGAAGTCATTGATTTGATCGCTGAGAGGAAAGTTGGCAATCTTAAGCTTTTGGATGTACCGGTAAAAATAATAGGCGATACTCTCACTTTCGTAAAGAGGAAACGAACAACACGTCTCACCGGCATTATCTCGAATATTGGCATCGGCAAAGTAATCCATGAAAATGGATGCGGCAGTGTGATTCAACTCCCAGGCAGCGAGCAGTAGAGCCGATCTTCCATTCTTGTCTCGCATATCTATATCGCAACCATTCATAAGTACGGCTCTTAGCATTCCATTCAAGGCAAGTCGAGGATCAATCGGAGATTCAGAAGTTGATTTAGGCTGTTTGAGTCGCATGTGATCGTCGAGAGCGACTAAGTGAATCACGCTCATGCCGTTGGACGTCACTCGAGACGGATCAGCTCCACCACGTATCAGATGGAGAATGGTTTTCTCTTGACGGTGCACTGTAGCCATGTGCAAAGGAGTCCTAGATCCGTAATCTTTTTCAATAGCGTTCACATCGGCTCCACTGTCGACAAGAAGCTCGATGAGATTGTCGTGACCGTTGTTCACGGCCAAGTGTAACGGAGTCGGTCCGTACAAACTCTTGGCGTTAACGTCGGCGCCGTGTTCGATGAGTAGCTTAACCATGTCCTCTTTCATTAATTGATGCTCGTCAAGATCCATCACATGATGCAACAGTGTCATACCGCGATCGTCCTTATGGTTTACATCGAGTCCGCGTTCGACCAAAAGCTTCAAAACATCGTAGCGTTGAGAATTGAACATTTTTGATACAGCATTGGCATACTTGTCGCGTTTTTTAGTCATATCACGAGACCCGTAATTGGTTCGGAATAGAAAAAATGCGGGTGTTTCATCATTATAATTACAAGCGTTAACGTCGCTATCGCAATTCAGGAGAAGATCTACAATTCTCAGAAGCTCAATTTGGTCGATTATCCGAAAAAACTTCTCGCATTGAATTGGTGTGTTCGACTCGGTGTCGGGTCTCGAGGCGTTATCCACGTGCTGGGCATACTTATTTACCTTGTGTTCGGGCTGAAAGCAAGCCAAATGCAACGGTGTTTCATTCTGTGCATCGCGTGCATTAACATCAGCTTTTTGCTTGACCAAATATTCGATCAAGGGCTTCTGGCTGTTTCCATTGACACTAAGAGCTGAAACGACAAAAATAAATTGTTATGTATTGTAATTATATTTCAACTATCTAAATTAGTACACTTAAATTTGAATTTTCACCTTTAATTGCAAAGTGTAGAGGAGTATATCCAGCATATTGGTTTGCGTTGATTTTAACAGCATGATTTATGTCTACGCTGTGTCCAACAAAATTTTTTACAGCTTTTAAATGATTTCTCAAGCAGGCTATATGAAAATGTGAGAATCCATTCCCATCTACAGGATTTTTAAAATTCTTTTCGTGTACATCAAGAAGTAAGCCAATGGCTGTTTCATTATTTTTTTTGTAAGCCAAATGCAAAGCTGTCATGTGGTCAGCATTTTTTACAGTTACATCAGCTTTGTGACTAAGAAGAAGTTTTATAGTTTCAAAACTGTTGAATAAAACAGCAAAATGCAAAGCTGTATACCCAGCCCACATCGCTGCATTCAAATCTACTTGTTCATTGATATTAATACCTTCTTTCATCATATGCTTTATAATATCAGTTTTATTTTTGATGCAAGCAACAAAAAAATGAGAAAATTTGTCCTTGGCTTTGATATTTTTCAAATTTGAGCTAAACTTGTTCAATATCAAATCGACAACCTCTGGTTTATTTAATTTTGCTGCCAACATCAGTGGTGTTTCTCCATGTTCATTTTGCTGAGAGATTTCAGCCCCTCTATCCAGCATCATCTGTACCATGTCAATATCCTCTTTGACAGCATAATGCAGCGGTGTATCCACACCAGCTTTCAAGTTTGGCTTGTGAACTCGACAACCCTCGGTAATGAGAATTTTCGCGATTTGTCTGCGTCTTTTTTTGAGAGCAAGGTTTAGCAAGGCATAATCAGTCCACTTTTCATCGATGCTCACACCTTGGTTGAGAGCTATTAATTGACAAACTTGCTTGGCATTGCCATACATAACAGCTTCGGGAAGTGTCATTCCCTTCTGCTGTTGTTGGGCGGGTTGTTGTTGCACTTTAGGCTGTTGCTTATGCAATTGCAGTTGCACTTTTGGCCGTTGCTCGGTGGGTTCTTGATGCTCTTGTGGCGATTGAGATTGCTCAAGATTAGCACCCATTTCGGATGTAAATGGTTTGGCCGATGCCATCCTAATCGAAGATGTTATTAAACAACACACACGCCAATGAAATATGTATATGTGTATGCAAGTTTAATAACTTATCCGCTAACCTGCATCAAGCAATCAAAGCATAATTGGATTAGCATATTACCGGTTGAACGGTTTGATATTGTAACCCACCTTGAGCAGAAAGATGATTACGCGATGCTCCCGAAAATTCTAATAGATGGTTTCAACCGATAAATGAAAAATAAGCTTTTTTTCTCGTATTTCGTTGATTTTTCAAGAATCACGATAAAAGTTTCAGTGGAAGTCTCGAACAAGTAGTCAAATTGTCAAACCAAATGAACAATTGACGGTATCAATCAATTAGAGTTAATTCATCATTTTCCACTTGAAGTAGTCGAGTGTATGTACACTACTGGGATTTACGCGAATGCGAGCTTGAGCGACGGCGGGCTGTGCTCACAATTTACATCCAAGACATATGAATTTTGCACTAACGGACGCGGCTTTGCAACTCGCTCGTTTTATTAATGATGAGACTTTGCTGCAGCGGGCAAATTTTCTCTCAGCGAGGTTATAAAGTTGCCTGTGATTGCGATTCTGGCCGACGACGTTCAGGATTTTCATCGTGTGCATTCTGCGTGTAATTTGCGCACGCAATTGTCGTCTGGACACTGGCCTCTCTATTTTAGGCGGGTTATTCAAATTTTTTTTTAACGATTTGATTTTCATTTAACAAAGAAAACAGTAGAATGTAAAAATCCAAATAATTAAAGTAATTCTCGTGAATACATTTTTATTCTAACTGAATTCATCAGTTTTCATTTTTTGAAATATAATTAAATACTTCAAGTACGCATTAAATTATGTTCATAAAAAAACATGTAATATTCTCGATAAATTAATGCACAGTGACGTAAAGAAAATATTACATTGATTATCCAAATAATATTTCAATTTTCTAAACACGAAATTGAGACGAAGTTCAGTGACTTGGGTTAATCAAAGTCATACTCATTACTCACAAACAGTGATTCGTTTGTAGAGATTACTGATGGCAGCCCTCGCGAATATTACGTGTGAAACGCCGGACCCGTTTGTAAACATAAACAAAGTTGTTCTCCCTTTGCTCCGCATCGTGAAATTTTCGATACTTTTCCATAATCCACGGGGGTCACTTGCTGTTGATCAGGCTTGGGATAAAGTACGTACAACCATTTTGAATGCTTTGCTTATAAGTAAGTTTCAATTTTATTTTAATTATCTTATTATTTCGTTCTAGAACTAACCCAAAAAGTCTACATCAACTGTCAAGTTTGCGTAGTAGTTCATTGGTTTAAACAGTTTAATTGTGTCCATTGGTTTTTTTTTTGTACATAATAACACAAAAAAATGACTCATCATTCTGAAGATTTGGTACTGCATACAAAATGTTTCACACCTCGCGAGCATCAGGTGGAATTATTATGTTCCGCAATGGAGCGGAATATAATAATTTGTTTAGGTAGAACAACTGAACGAACTTTCATATCCACAAAATTGATACAAGAATTGGGCATTGGTCATAGAAAGAGTTGCAAAGATGGTGCTAAGAGAATTCTTTATCTCCTTGAAAACGACCAAAGTAGCCATCAAAAAGCTGAGTACATTAATCAAGTTACTGATTTTGGTGCAATGGCCTATGATCCTAAAGTTGACTTCAAAACATTTACAGCTAAAGAATTTCAAGTCCTGTGTGTAACAATTCAGGTTTGTAATGATCTAATTGAAAAGAAAGAATTAGATCTTAAGGATATTCAAATAATAATTATTCACCAGTGTCACCGTTTTGATGCAACTGAACAGTTGGGTGACATTTTATCACATTTAAAAAAATTAGATAATCCAATCAAAGTAATAGGATTTGCTGCCCCATTATACAATTTGACTGAAGTACCAGGCCAATTGAGTTTTCAAATTGAAAGAATTGAATCATTCTTACAATGTCAAATAGAAACGGCTAGTGATTTATTATCTATCATTAGATATAGCCCAAAACCAAATGAATATATATTAGTTCATAAAGTAGTAGGTAAATCGTATCAAGAAACAGAGTTACGTAAATGTATTGAATCTACAATGTCATTCTTAGAAGATCACAGATATGATCTTTCAGAAATTTATGATAATGAGTTTGCAGAGGAACGTGAAAAAATGCCTAATCCTGTGGAAAAACCAAAAGATATTTTGGAATATTTTGTAAATATTTTAGATAATTTAGGAATATGGTGTGCAGATAAAGCAGCTTTTGTATTACTTTTAATGATTGAGAAGCTCAAAGTCAGAACTCCATACGATAGGCATTATCTTATTTTCAGTCTTCTATCGACTACATTTGTAAAGATAAGAAAATTATGTGACATGTATTTTCACAATTTAACTGAAGTAGAAAAAATTTATCGATTTTCAACACCCAAGGTTCTAAGAATGTTAGAAGTGATCAAAGTTTTTAATCCCCCTAAAAGATTACTTGCATTATCAATAAATAATTCAGAAGAAGCTCAATCAAAGTCAGACAATCCAACTGAAGTTCAACAAGAAGTAAAATCTTCAAATAATCAGAGTAAAGGACAATCTCCTAGAAGTCAACAAAGAAGATCGAGGTTTCGTCCACCAAGATCGAACACTGACCCCAATGGAATTTGTGGATTATTATTTGTTGAAAATGCATTAACGGCTAAAGTATTACATTACTTATTATTGGAATTAAGTAAGAATGAAGATGATTTAAAATTTTTGAAGCCACTTTTTACATGTGAAAATAATAGTGAAGAGCATGATTCTACAAAAGAGATAGAAATGATGCACAGAAAGCAAGAAGAAGTGTTGAAAAAATTCCGCATGCGTGATTGCAATTTACTGATATGTACTTCAATTCTAGAAGAAGGCATTGACATTCCAAAATGTAACCTTGTGCTAAGGTTTGACTTTCCAAAAAATTACAAATCATATGCCCTATGTAAAAGCAGAGCCAGGACAGCAGAAGCATTACATATTCTACTTATATCTGAGGCTAATTCTGATGCTTGTATCACAAAAGTGGCTGATTTCCATTATATTGAAAAAATTTTACTATCCAAGTGTTCAGGCTTACGCCTGAACTTGCAGCATGAAGCAGAAGCTAATGGTTACGACTTGATATTTCCTTCGTATGAACCAAAAGAAGGACTAGGTCGATCAGTTAGTCTTAATTCTGCCATCTCTTTAGTGAACAGGTAAATGCAATCCTATACATGCATTAGAAAACTTAACATTAACGTAATTTTTTTTTGTTCAGGTACTGCACAAAGCTGCCAAGTGACACTTTCACGAAGCTCACCCCGGAATGGGAAATCAAAGAAGTAACGTTGAATGGCCGAAATATGTACGTTTGCTCCATCCACTTGCCCATCAACTCTCCCCTCAAGTACACCGTCGAGTCGTGGCCGATGCCCACAAGGGCACTGGCTAAACGTGTGGCCGCTCTGCGGATGTGCATACAGCTGCATAAAGAGCAAGAAATCGACGACTTCCTCTCACCAATTAGCAAGGAAACTTTCCGAGCCATGCCAGAATACAATGAGGCACCTCCTTTATCCGAAGACGAGGACACGGATGATTTAGACATTCGTCCCGGTACCACCAAACGTCGACAGTATTACTATAAAAAAATAGCCGATGCTCTGGTGAACTGTAAACCGGAGCCTAACACACCCTGCTACCTCTACCATATAAACATGATACTGAGCTGTCCACTGCCAGAAGAGCAGAATACCCGGGGTAGAAAACTTTACCCCCCCGAGGAGTCGGCCATTGGATTTGGTATTTTAACGAGTAAACCTATACCACCAGTTTGCGCTTTTCCCATCTACACGAGATGTGGCGAGGTGAAAGTCGAATTGCAGCTGATCTCAGATGAAGTTGTGCTAACAAAGTCGCAAATCGATAAAGCCATCGATTTCCTCAACTTCACCTTCAGCAACGTACTGAGGTGAGTAAATCAAAGCGCTCTTTTATTTATTTTGTCTCTTATACATTGTTATTATTTCATTAATTACATCAATGTCTTTGACAAACGGCTGACAATTTGGTAAATTTGCATAAGAAATTAATAAAGCCACCGTCTAGTTCGCTATTCATGGCTTTCTTGATGAAATCATGAAGGAAGTGAACTTTGGTAAAACGTATCCTGCTAGCGTGTTGGTTGAAGGCCTTCTTGTCTGTCAAAACGCCGATGAGTTTACCCGATTGAACTACAGGGCCGCCAATATCTTCCTACACAGTGAAAGTTTTACAATATAGAAGCGCTCTCGAGACTTTATTTTTTCTAGAAACTTACCTGGCTCAATGCCTCTATAATATTGTAATTCGTTGACGTGTCATAAAGCGCCTTTGCGCACAGTAGCATACGATTCGAATCGTCCGGATGACAAACTTGCAGCGAGAGCAGCACATTGATGCGGACCCAGGATCTGAAACCGCTGAGCTTGGTGCTTTTGTCGTGGTGATCGACCCTATCGTGATCCGGCAATTGGACCACTTTGATGCGCGGATCGGCCTGGTTGAGCTTTTTGTCGAGCCTCACAACAGCCAAGTCACCGTCGTAATGGTCCGATGTCAAGGTTTTACTCAAATAGACCGTCTTCACGTTGCGAATAATTCCGTTTTCCTCGTCAAGCGATTGGGTACCTGCAATTACGCGTACTTTACCCCTGTCGAATTCGATCGGTGCCGAGTTGGCAGTTTTGCGGAAACAAGAGGCCGATGTCACGATGAAATTATCGGCTACGATGGCTCCGCTGCATATGTGATTGTAAGCATTTCTTGACGTATCCAGGGCTTGGATCGATACCAAATACTTGTCTCGCACAAAACTGTAAGCTGTTTCAAATTTAGATTAAACGGTATTTTGTCGCTATATACGAATCGATATTGGATCGCACCAACCTCCTAAAAATTGCACGACTCCAATACAAAGAAGTAAAATTAATTTGGCCATCTTTGCTGCGCTGCGAAAGATTATTAGCAATGTCAGTGAGGCTTCATTTATATAGCTTAAAAGTCGTGCAAATGCAATAGTTTAGCGTCATTGTGACAAACTTATCGTTAACAATTTTACCGACGCTCTTGCACGTAAACGATAAAAAATGGTAATTTTTAAAAACTGTCATAAAAAAGTATTTTTCTTGCTATATCTCACTTTAGAAAAAGAAAAAAATTAATATTTTATTGGAAAAATTATTCGATTTCAGCAAGTAACAAATCCAATTGACAAAAATCAATGTTCCCTTTGAAAGCCAATATAGAAATTGTTAATATTGTTCCTCGTCACTTACTCATCGTAAAATTCGAATCATTCATTTTTATCTTACAGATTTCAAAAGTACCTAATGCTGTTCGATCCTGCGTCATCCACAAATTCATACATCATCATACCGGTGAAAAATCACGCCAAGCCCATTTGCATCGATTGGGAATTCATCGATACGGTGATCGCCAACCGCGAGAGTTTGCCCTACCAAATGTCAGACGACAATAGGCGAGATTTCACCTTCGATGCGGCGCGCTACAACGACGCCGTGGTCATGCCTTGGTACCGAAATCAGGACCAACCTCAGTACTTCTACGTCGCCGAGATCTGCCATCATTTGAATCCTAAGAGCCAATTTCCAGGAGAAGATTATAATTCATTTGAAGAGTATTACTTCAAAAAATACGACATCAAGATACAAAACTTGACACAGCCGTTACTCGATGTCGATCACACCTCTGCTAGATTGAATTTTTTGACTCCCAGGTACGTAAAGGCGCTGCTATCTCACAGCGATATATTGTTTGATGTTTATAAATTTTCTTTCTTCTTTCAAAGATACGTCAACCGAAAAGGAGTTGCTTTGCCAACGACCAGTGAGAAGACCAAACTCGCGAAACGCGAAAATCTCGAGCAAAAACAAATCCTCGTTGCCGAGCTTTGCGCCGTTCATCCCTTCCCGGCGTCTTTATGGCGTCAAGCCGTTTGCCTGCCCTGCATTTTGTATCGCGCTAACGCTCTCCTACTGGCTGATCAGTTACGTCGGGAAGTTGCCAAAGCTATCAATCTTGGCCGTGCGACTCTAGATGAGAAATTCAAATGGTCTCCGCTCGACTTTGGATGGAGTTTGGCCGACGTAATAAAAAAAATCAAAGAAGAGTCTAAGGTAAGTTTTTCTCTTTATTCGTTGCTACTTTCGGTACTTTGAATAAGCTTAATTCTCTTTTCAACCTTCATTGCAGAATAAAAACAAGTCTTTCAATGATTCAGTACAAAGTGGAAAAAGTGATAGTTTAGCAGAGAAGAGTATGGAGGAAAAGAAAAAGGAGGTAGAAGGTGGAGAAGTAATCGAAGAGATAACGAGACCTGGTCAATTTGAAATAAGCACGTTTGAAATGGGACAATGTGGAACAGGTTCAAACGATCAGTTAAGTTTGGAAGCTGCTTCTAATACGGATTTAGATGTAGTTTACGCCTCTCCAAATGCGGTCAGTGAAGCTGATTCGAGATCGTACTCCGACTATGACGGTTTGGAAAGCGATGACGCTACATCTGTCTGCTCTAATTTATCGAATCGAACGAATAGCAGATGTTTGGAAATCAATTATACCGAGGAAAATTGCGCCGAAGCCGTCGATTCTAGAGACACGGCCTTCGAGAGAGAAAATAAGAGACTCAAGGCATTGCAGGCCGAAGAGGACAATCATGGATGGCAGTGGGAGATAAAAACCGATGAACAATCATCTGCCCATATAAAAACTCATTTAGAAAATAGAGAGATCAACGAGAAGTTCATTCGCGAAAGAGGAATGATCGTAGATGTGGAAACGCCGGTATTTTTCGAACGCGGGATCAGAAGAATAAGTAACATGATTGAACCAGTCGAAGACGAACAGATCAACAAGGTTATAAAGTTATTAAAAGCTGAGATGGATACTCCGGAAAAATCATTTTGCAACAAAGTTAAACCAGCTGTACCTATGCCAAAAACTCCGCCAAAATACAGGACTTACCACGGATTTACTTTTGATGACCAACCAAATCTGGAAAATCATTCAGGACCTAGCCCGAGTTTGATACTACAAGCTGTGACAATGTCTAATGCCAACGACGGAATCAATCTCGAGCGTCTGGAGACAATTGGTGATTCGTTTCTCAAGTATGCCATTACTAACTATCTGTACTGCACCTATCTTAACATACACGAGGGAAAATTGAGCCACTTACGCTCGAAGCAAGTCAGCAATCTCAATCTCTATCGACTCGGCAAAGCAAAGAATTTCGCCTGTAGCATGATAGCGACAAAATTCGAGCCTCACGACAATTGGCTGCCCCCCTGTTATTATGTACCTAGGGAGCTCGAACAAGCCCTCATCGAGTCTGGCGTACCGTCAACCTTGTGGAACCAGGCCGAGTTTCCTGACCCGAAAGACGGCATTGAAATCGACGCAATATTACGCGGTACTCAGCAAAAGCTCAGCATGATGAAAATTGAACTCTCCGAGAAAAATGCACACGTGAACAATAACGCACGCAACTTTATCCCTTACAATCTGATTACTCAACACAGCATACCCGACAAAAGCATTGCCGACTGCGTGGAAGCCCTCATAGGCGCTTATCTTATTTCTTGCGGACCCAAGGGAGCTCTCATATTCATGACTTATTTAGGAATTCCTGTTCTTCCAACAAGGGAAGTTTTACTTCTTCAGGATGAAGAGCCAACTGATAGACCGATTGGTAGCACCGAGTACGTTAAAGGCAAGACCAAAAAGGGTAAGACAACGTGGTCAAACGTGGTGTACGAAAATTTGCCCCATCCACCGAGTCCGCTGTTGTATAACTCCCCAAATGCTGAGGCAGAATTGGAATTCATGCTGGATGGCTACGATGTGCTAGAACAAAAAATTGGTTACAAATTCAACGATCGAAGTTACTTGTTGCAAGCGTTCACGCATGCCTCGTACTATCGCAATCACTTGACCGACTGCTATCAAAGATTAGAATTTTTGGGTGACGCCATACTTGATTATCTAATTACTCGTCATCTGTACCAAGACAAAAGGTGCCACTCACCGGGAGCCTTGACAGATTTGCGCTCGGCTCTTGTCAATAATACAATTTTCGCCTCGTTGGCAGTACGCTGTGGCTTCCACAAGTATTTTAGACATCTGTCACCCGGACTGAGCGTCGTGATCGAACGATTCGTGGATATACAGGAGAAAAACTGTCACACTATCAGCGAGGAATGTTGCTTCAACAGCGAGGAAGCGGAAGACATCGAAGTGCCCAAAGCTCTCGGTGACGTGTTCGAATCTGTCGCCGGAGCCATATACCTCGACAGCAACATGTCGCTCGACGCTGTCTGGGGTGTTTACTATGAAATCATGAAAGGGGAAATTGATCGGTTTAGCGAGAGTGTGCCAAAGTCACCGATAAGAGAACTACTGGAATTAGAGCCAGAAATTGCTAAATTTAGTAATCCTGAGAAATTGGCTGACGGCAGAAGAGTTCGTGTGACAGTAGAAATCTTTGGCAAAGGTACCTTCAAAGGTATAGGTAGGAATTATAGAATTGCCAAATGTACTGCCGCTAAATGCGCGCTGCAAAAGCTTAAAAATTTAGGTCGTTCATAATTCGTAATAAGTGCGCAACATTCAAAGTAATTATAATTTTTTATTTATTTGTAAATTGGTTATTAATCGTGTTAATCAAGCACACAGTATCTCATGTGTGCCAATATTTTAATTTTTATTATTTAATGTTTGAAAAGGCTTAAAATTAATTTTCTGTATTTGATACAAATGAATGCAAATAGTGATTATGAAGGTGTGCAATTAATAAGAATAATGCTAAATCATACAAAATCAATTAGTATTGATCAAATTAAGTCTTTCATTCTAAAATAAGTTTATATTAGTTATTATTTAGTTTGAATGTATCTCCAAGATGTACATTCATAAATACGGGTGATGAAGAGAATGAAGACTTTTTGTATTTTCTCAATATAAGTTTACTTATTGATGATGTACAAAGACAATAAATCTGTACATTTAAATAGTAATTTTTAAAATAACTTTATTATTCACCTTTAACATAAAGTTTATACCAAATTTTACTCACTCTATGATTATTTTCTTAAGTCTACTTGATCCTTTGTCATGCACAACAGTAAAAAATATTTTTATGTAAATAAATGCTTTTAAATGCCTTATATACGAGTATAATGAAAATATTATTCACAGAATCAATTTTCTGGCTTGTACAATTAAATACAATTCACGATATTCTAAATATTTAAATATATTTAGCATACATTTGTGAGGTATTTGAAGTCCAATTATGAAATTCAGCGAAGTAAATGCTTCGTCACACCACTTTTCCCACAATTTAAATCTAGTGATAAGTATTTCATATAAAAAGTAATATTCTGGAAAATTTTTTCTACAGTAATTACTTTTCATTTGCAAATTTTTCATAACTAAACTATAGTCCTTCAACTTTTGAATTTCATGTAGGCTCATAGATAAAATTGTATACAATGTTAAACCTTTAACTATATTAATATTTTTTAATTTCTCAATTTCTTTATTGCATTCTTTAATAAATGTATTATTATAAGTAGCATATTGACTTTCAAAGGTATTTAAGAGCAAATGATTCTCATTGTTTAGATGCAATCCATAAATTTCCAGCTTTTTTATATGCTTCATTAATAATGCACACGATTGTGAAATATTATTTGAAATGCAATGTAGTAAAACAGTTTCTCCTAAGTTATTTGTTATGTTTATATCTGCACCATTATTTAAACATATTTGAACCAAATCATAATCTTTTCTTAATGCTGCAACGAATAATACTGTTTCACCTTCTACATTTTTGTAATTGATGTCACATCCGTAAGAAGTCAACTGTTTTACTATTTCTTTGTAAATCTCTGAAATATTCTGAAGGTGGTTTTCTTTCCTGATCATCATATGCAAGGGGGTTTCTCCAAATACAGATACATCACAAGCACAAGCTCCTGCTTTTAGTAATGCAATAATTGTATGCTTATCCAAGTTGTAGGCAGCTGCATGTAAACAATTGTGATTTTCAGCATCTGTTATAGTTAAATTTGCACAATATCTTATGAGCAAGTGTATTAATGGTATTCGTTGTCGATAAATGGCCATGAGAAGAGGTGTAACTGCGCTGCCTTTTTGAATAGTAGCATTCACATTAATATAGTGTTTAATTAGAAGATCCGCTGTCTCTTTAGCTTGAATATCATCGTCAAAACAGGTGACAAGATGCATTAAACTACAACCATTAATATCCTTTGTTTCAATATCCGCATAATTATCAAGCAATAAGTTCATAATGGCCAGCTTTCTTTTACTGACTTTCCTCATGACAGCGTTCATAAAATCATCACCAAAACCTCTTAATTGTTGTCTGAGATCGTGATAATTTACACCGTCGCAAAGGTAATAAAGAGGTGTCCTATCATACATATCTTTGGCATTTATATCGCATTTTTGCTGAAGAAGAAGCTTGACGAACCTGAGATCTTTATTCTCCTGGCGTAAAAAATATTTCAGTCTGTTGTTTCCTTCCTGCATACTCCTTATCAATTGGTCGAGTTCGCATCGTAAATTTGGAAGCAGACAGGCCAAATGAAGAGCGGTGCGCTGCAACAATGGCTCTTTGGCATTCACGTCTTTACATTTGTCGATTACTTTTTTAAATTCGACATAGTTTAAGCGAACCGTGGCCAGGTGTAATTCACTAACATAGAACGAATCCGCAAATTCTTGATCCTTAATAAATTCGTCAATAAAAAAATCACACAAGCTGTACAACTCAGTGGGCGAAAAATTTTGAAGGTCCAAAATATCGTCGGATAAAATGAAATTTTCCATGATAAGTTAGCAGTTGCGGCTCCTCTGACAGAGTTGATTACAACAAGCGTTACCTTTGTAATGCCAAACTACGTTTGTCCGTTGGCACCGTTAACTTGTAAGTAAACTGTGTCGATCATTCAAAAGTTGCAGCAGATTTGCGTGCTCTATAGGCCAATGTGGTGTATCGGTGTGAGTGCAGAAGAAATATTATACAGCAATCTATATACGCGGACACTTACAGTAACGATAAACAGGGACAAAATGGACAACAAGAGTTCTCAAGTGTCGTGGAGTGTTTAATCATCGCAGATCATATTACTATCCGGTCATCATCATTGTAACGTCGATGTCATTTGTTCTCTCGTTTTGAAATTTTACAGTTGAGATGGCTGCATATTTATGTAGCTCTTGCTTTTCGCCAACATTATGTCATTTTGGATGATTATTATATGCGGTTGTCATATGTCTCACATTGATCAGGTAAGTGAATAACATGCATTATTTGTGTACAATCATCTGTAGCCAATAGTTAAAAACGAAAATGTTAGCTCTTTATTTTCGTCTTTGGACATCGACAATGCATCATATACAATTACATGCCAAGTCACGTTCGCATCGCATCTGCGAGTATTGCCGTGTAAACAAATTGCGCAAATCACCGAAAAATATTATTTTTCTCGCTTCCAACTCATAAGCCAGTAAAGAAAATGAGAGTCGTTATATGACATACACAAGTACGTGAATTTAGTTACTATGTGTGAACACCGAGAGTACATGCGATTCCCGTCTTTCCAAAGTCGTCGTCACAAGTAGTATTTTATTATTTCTCTTGAAAATAATTATGCGTTCTTATACTATCCGTCCCGCTCGTCGTCGCTCGGGTCGTGCACGCGGGGGATATGATCCTAGTAATAAAGTCCATATCGTTCCACGAGCTTACAAATTCTAATGTCATGGCTGTGATCGTGCCATTCGTTCGAACGATTGCGTCTATCAAACACGAACTTGAGATAAACTAAATTTTTCGCGTATATATCGGATCCAACGACAGTGACTCAAAAGTTATGAAGTTGTTTATCGAAATTTTTATACTCGCGGTTGCCGCTTTTTGCCTGGTTACTGCCGGTGTGAGTAAATTAAGGGGATTTAGAACCCAGCCAAAAAATCAAAATTTCAATCCAGTTTTCTGAAACTTTTATAGCGACCTTCATTTTGATGTTTTTAAGGTCGCCATAGAGCCTTTTGGAGAAACATCCATTAAAAGTTTCAGAAAACTGGATTGAAATTTTGATTTTTTTGGCTGGGTCTTATATCTCCTTAATTTACTTTTCTTATTGTCTTTACCTTAAACAACTGTAATTTGGAATGTCGCTCGTATACAGAGGCCAGATTTTGTGACGGATGAGATCCTAGAGATGGTGGCTGGTGACAAGGCTCGATGCATGAACGAACACGGAACAACCGAATGTGCGTAACTGTAGCTTGATTTACACCCTCAATGTTTTTACCACCCTTGATTTTACATCGTGTTAATTTTTGTTCTGATTCAACAGCAATGATCGACGCTGTGAATGAGGGTAACATTATGAACGATCGAGCCATCACCTGCTACATGTACTGCTTGTTTGAAGCATTCAGCTTGGTAGATGAGGACGGCATTCTCGAGGTCGAGATGTTGGTCGGTTTCCTTCCTGAGAACATGCAAGCCTCCGCCGAAACTATCGTCAATTCATGCATCGACGAAAGCCCTGGCGATGTGTGCGATAAGATGTACGCCACGGCAAAGTGCATATACGATAAGCGTCCTGACGTGAGTAAAATACTTTTACTTGAGTAAATTAAAAACTTTTCATTCGCCATAGTTTCTGCCAATAAAAAATAATTCATGTTTTTTCGTGACATTCACCGAAATGTAATATCATTTCGTGACATTTTCCTGAACTGTGAACTTTACTTGGTATTTTAATTGTTTCAGTTGTGGTTCATGCTCTAAAGATCTGAAATACGAATCAAAGTGAATAGTTATATAAGCGTGATTGTGCACAGTCGAAGACAAGCGCAACCGATTGGCATTTACGTACATAAGATGGACTCGAATTACCACATGTGTACAAGGTGTGTAATCAGTTCTTGTAAAATGACTTCTGCGATCGAGCTGGCTCATTAAAATTATTGTACACGCAATAATATGAAATTCTTATTTTTATTTGAAAAAATAAAGCAATTATAAAAATTTTCCAATGACTTTTACTTAAAAAAAAAAAATCTTATATTGAAGATTTAATTTTCACATTATTTTCACAGTATGATTAATTTAGCCTAAGTTCGGATTAAAAAAACTTCAAAATATGAGTTAAATTTAAAATAAATTTTCATAATCTTGTTATTGTTGTTTTTTTGAAAACACCGCAATATACTTCAAATTTATATTAACTCAAATTAATGACTTTCCTTCTCTATACAATTTCATCCTCATTTTTATTTTTTGATAACGAACAAATATCTTTTTTTCAAAATTTTCTGTGTATATTCTTGGTAGAAAATTAAGTACTCGTCGTTCACGAAGGTATAAAGATCTCTCAAAAAAGCGTAGACTAACTTATGAATGTCTGGTTAATTTTTTTGTAAGAAACTTTAGGTATAAATCTATAAATTATTTTATGAAAAAAAAATCAGAAGAAATCTTGTTTGGTTAAAAGACGGGCGTTGAATACTAAGTAATCAGTATACTATTTGTATAGTGTATATTATTCACAATGCTTATTTCATAATTTCCAAATTCTTCTTTTTTACACATACACTGAAACGGCGATCGAGTGAACCGCACACAGTACCGTGAAACCGTCACTCAAACCGCCGTGGCGTTGCTAACAAGCGAAACCATGATTTGTTTGGCAAAAAAATAGTTATTCATGAAACAAGTACCCAAAAGGCGTTTTTGGGCACGAGTGTGCGACAAAAGACACGAGTGTTGGCCATGCCGACACGAGACAAGAAAAAAGACATTTGCATAAAAAAATTTCCTGAACAAAATGATGACTCTAGAGCAAAAAAAAATGACTTAAGGTTCATTATTTTTTATTTCATTAACTATGGAGTTTAGAGAAAAAGTTGATATAACAAAACAGTCTTTGATTTGTTCAAGGGTAACTCAAATTTTTCAGAATTTTTTGAAATGATTTTGGATCATTTGAACCTAACGAAAAATCCAATTGCTCTTCAAAAACATAAGATATAATAGTTTTCATAATTTTTATCGTTTTGATTGAGATAGAGTAATGAATAAATCGTGTCCTCTGAGCGCAAGTTAAGAACATCAAAATGAAGATCATCATAGAATTTTTTGGAGTGATATTTAGTAAATATAATATTTTATAAGAGTAGTTTTAGCTCTAATTGGGCGACGATAAAAATATCAACGATAGCGGTGAAGATGCTAATAATTGTTTTATAATTTGATCTGATCAGAGCGCGAGGTAGTAAGTCAAAGTTCTCTCCTAACGCTTCTCTGTTTCATTTATTTATTATGAACCGTTCTTATGCATCCTTGTTGCATTACAGTTATGCACTATTTTGATTCATGGTTGATATTTAAGGTTTTGGTGACTGGTCAAGACAAAAGAATTATAAGTAATTCATATGTTTCATTCTTTTATTGTACATCCATCGATGATTCAGTACTATGTCGACGCTGATATACATCTATGAAGTAAAATCAAATTTTTAGTAAGTAACTGTTACAATCCACTCACACTCATTAAGCCTATCAATTACAAATTCTTTCAAACTACCGCTTTGCGCATTATTTTCTCTTGAAAAAATAAGACAAAACATAAATGTGTTTGAAAGTGTTGTATTTTTACAAAAGGCTATAAAAACATATCAGCTTCGCTTTCTCACGATAACGTGACAAGTGCAACGGTTGCTTGTGCCAAAGGTGTAACATGCCGAGAACAGCAGATTTTCGTGACAGCGTTCCTTTTCCCTTTTTTTTCCTCTTTCGAGCGACTCTGCGACCCCGCAGACGGCACAGTACGAGGGACGCTACGCTACGCAGTGAGAGCGTCTCGTCTCGCACACATACGCACGCGGAAGCGCATTACAGTCCGTCGATGTCGTCGTCGTCGTCTTCGCGCTTTCCTACGGTGAAAGCGTGTTTAATTCGGTGCGTTTTACAGAGCAGCGCTATGCAGTAGTGTAACCCTCCTTCTCTGAAAAAGCTTTCAATTCATTCAAGCTCGGGTGCTTACACGCACTCGCTTGCAGTGCGGCGCAAGGCTCTCGAGGCTCGAACCGATTTTTCTCCTCTTCTTATTTCTGAAGGAGGAGCAACGACGAGGGTCGAGTGAAGTATACCCGACTGCTGTGGCTGCATTTCTTTGTAACCACAGCGTGTAACGTCTTGTTTTGTACTCTTAACTCCTTTGAGAATAACTTTTGCATCACGCATCTCGTACACGTACGCAGACGCCAACTATTTTTCATCTTATACATATTCCAGTACACTTACATACTAGTGGAAAAAGAAAACTAGAGAGAGTAGGCCCCGTTGGCATGAGATGTCAATTGGAAAAACGGCATATTCCTATTCATCAATAAATTGAACGGAGATGCTGCTGTCTTTAAAAACATTATGTTATATATTGTATCTTCATCTTTATATATCACCATCTTTTTTCAAGTCATTAGGAGTAGTATGTAGTTTTTTGCACTTAGCCACCATTCCAACTAGATCCATTTTTCCTAAATTGTTGTTTTGCCACTACAATTACCTTCTAACATTGCGAGTGGCAGATGTGACTTTTGTGGTAGAAAATGTCAGGGCGTATCATACGCATCCACGCGTATGCATTAGCTCTTTCATTTGGCTGACTATTTTTCTTAGTATTTCACGCGCTTTGATATGCCATTATACTATATAAAAAAGGTTCAGTACTCAATCTCTTTTGACCAAGGAGAAAAAGTAAAATATATTGATATTATTATTATTTTTATAATAACTAATTCTGGTTCGCATAATGGTCGAATTATGACTTTGTAAGTTGCAATTCCTTCGATTATCTAAAGTGCTTTAAATGCTTTAATAATCTATTCTAACTAAACTCTGTATTATGTTCATAGGTACTTTTCTTTTGCTTTGCGAACTTGTTCTTTTACTATTTTTCCGCTTGATCCATGGTTAGATATGAGTGAATGATATTTTAATATCTTATAAACTGTATATTATTTAATAGTACTCCTTTTTCTTGTCTTAACAACTATTCAAAGTTGTAAGCAAACACAAATTCTCACAATGAAAATTAGGGTTTTATCTGTAGCTGTTGCACTTATAAAATAATCTTGAAAAAACAAAGATCTATTCGAACGTAAAATTTTCCGCTCTTTTCAAAACTGCCAAAATTTATTTTTGGTTCACTGTAGCTACGATATTGTGTTGAAAGTCAAAGTCAAGGCCATCATTAGATTTCTTGTCAAAAAATACTTTAGAGATGGGATTTTTGATTTTTTTCGTACGCTTATTCTGCGAGATTTGCAAGGGTTTCCATACTCTTGTATATCATATTTCCACGCTACTTATTTGACTATTGCACCGTGACTGATATATATTCTTGTGCAATCGTCATTGCACCTGTATCAAGGATGTACTGAAAATAACTAGATCGCGCTATGATGTTTAACGGTCGTTGGTCTTTCACAGCTTCTGTATATCATATACACACACATATTTAATCATTTTCGATCTAGTTCAATCGCTATCTTTGTGTGCCCAATTTTTGAATTGAATTATAGCTGTGTACATACAGCTTTATAATTATATTAAATAGCCATGAAACACTAATTGACGAATTTCAAGATAACGATTGCGCAGTTGTGAAAATGTTGAAGGTGCCTCTTCTGAGTGTTATTGCGTTTACGATTATGTGATGAAGTGATCGATCTTTAGCGTGTCGTTTAATTTATGCAATAAGTATTAATTTATTCATTATCAGCCATATATTTATTGGGCATTCTTGTCCTCATGTTTTCTTCACAATACGCAAAAATTTAAAATCTTAATATATTTAACTTTGATTATTTTTGACCTCTTGTTACGAGTATTTTCAAAGCTATGATTTCAACACAACTCCAACGAAATTGTAGAGTTGAAAGATTATGCTTCAAATTGTTAAAAACTGTAACAACTTCCTTAAACCTGCTCATAGCGCTCCTCGTACCTCACAACTGATTGATAATCAGAAGGTACCGGTCGGGCAAGTCACGCTTGAATCCTTCTCTCGCATACTCTCAAACGAATACCACCCAATCGTTGTTTATCGGTAGTACTGGTTAGGATTCCAGATTTTAACTGGCCCCTCTGCAGTACAAAGAAACATTTTTTCTACTTCATGAAGCACTCGAATGGAACCTTAAATTCATCGTCCTCCAAAACAATAGTTATTTTCTTTTTTAAATCCAAACAAAATTTTCAATTGAATACTATGCCACTTGTATCAGAATTCGAGTAATTTTTAATTTATTTCTTTTCCCACCACTTTCTTTTTTGCTCTCTTTCTCTATTCGTTTGTCTGTTTGCTTACTCGTAGAAAGCTTTTGTGTAGCGCATAAATGCTCACCAATACACGATATAGTCACTTTTGTGGAGATGGCGCGCTGGAGCATCGTTGGTACCTCATAGCTGCAGTTGCAAATTTAACGCGTTGTTGTCGCATAAGTAAATCGCCAACAGCTCCAGGGACTCGCCTAGCGTATACATTTTCGAGAGCGATTAATCAGACCTGGCGCTGAAGCATCGCGTATGCCTAGCAGGCCTCCAAGCACGACAGGACGACGTTGATTATATCATTGCAGTGCGCGTGCGGGAGCGAGCACACGCGTGTTTACGCCCGTGTGCACGCAAACACAGCCGACATACACAGGACGCGCAAAAGGACTCGACGAAGCGACTGCGACGTGCAATACGATAATTACACACGAGCCAAGGATATGCATGTATATGCTCTATATGCATACAGCGCGTGCAGAGGAGGTGGCAGCAATAGCTGCACCAGTTGACGAATGAAACGATTAAATTTTCAGCAAGCCTACGTGGATTACTGCTGCTGCTTCTGCTTCCGTACAGCCCGAAGACGTGTCGCTGATAAATATCTCATGCTTGCGTACGTATAGACTCGAGCTGCTTATTCCTTGCCTACGTTCAACCGCGTTAAGTATATAGAGCTATTGTAGTCGCACACGTAGAGAAGGCGCATAATACGTTCAATCGGTGATAAGAGCCAGGACACGCCGAGGACGACGACATCGACTTGTTTTCGCATGAATAAAGTCGAGACTTGAACGCGAGCGGATGACTTTGTACAACGTAGCTAACACGTGGTAGCGAATAGTTGTAGGTACAATACCTTTGTCGACTTATGATACTAGCGCACCTTTTTATACGACGTGCAAATGCTTCGAGCGCCTCTCTCAATTCACATGTGACTTTGTCCCGCTCCGAACCAATATTACTCCCGAGAAAACTTTTCAATCGTATAAATGCACGCGGACGTTCTTTACGTATTTTTTGTTGTCGTGCGGCTCTCGAGCGCGCACAAAGAATATAGGAGGCGCGGGAGAAAATTGTCTCCTTACGCGTGGAATATTTTTTCTAATATTCTAATACGCGCTTTAAAACGAGCAGCGGCTAAAGAGGTCACTGTAGCGTACGCTGCACGTAGACGAGCGCGCGTACTCTCGACTCCACGCGGGTACATTATGCAAAAACAAGAGTTTACGTATCCGGCATCGAGAGTGCTATATGCACTATATGTAAAGCACGGGGGAAAAAAGAGCAGCCAAACAGTGGGCGAAAAAAAATAAAATAAATTCGCAACCGCTCAAAGCTTATAACTTTTTTCCCGTTTCTCATGGTACACGGCATACAGACTAGTTGTACGTCCGTAGGTAGGTGACGTGTATACATACGGCATCGCGCTGATGAGATAAACTAGCAAAGAGTAAGCACGGAGCTCACCCCCCGCTGCAGTCGCTTTGAGCTTGCTGCAGATCGTTTTCTCTCTCCCTCCATTACTGCTAGCAACGCTGCTGCCACTACCACTAGGAACCAGCAACAACCGTTGAATTACGTAGCCTGGCGTGTATATCGTATACATGTACGTATGTAGGTAGCAGCTAAAGCTCGATGCGCGCGCATCAAGTGGCAAGTGTACGACTGCGACTCGCTATATGCAGCAGCATGCAAGCTCCGGGAGAGATTCGCAGCGAGTCGCGCGCGCAGTGCACGCAGCGGCGTCGGCTTGCAGTAATCGCGTTGCGATGACGCGCTGCCAGCTCCTAGCGTTGACTCGTACTACTTGAGCGCCCAGCCAGTAGTGCTTCACGTGCGCGGCCACGATACAGGACGCGCCAACTTCTTTCTGCTGCTACAAAGTTGTGTTCACTCGCGTTTCACCGTGCCTCCATGTGATTATTATACCCCTACTCGTGCTGTGTGTACTGCGACGATGCAGCGATAGAAAAAAGATTTCCTTCTGCTGCTGCATTTTTTTTTATTTTATACGTCCTAGTTCACTTGACACGTTCGTTTCAAAGGGCAAAACAAGAGAGAGAAAGAGAGACCAGGAGAAAGCAAAGCCAAGACATTGACACGTTTGAAATATAGTAATCACGAGGCCAGAGGAAGGAGATTAAGCCAGATTTGTGCCAGCTAGTGACATGTGTCCATCAAAAACAGACGATTATGGTGAGTGGCAGAGTAGTTTTTTCACATTTCTCTCTCGCGTTTCTTCTATACACTCTACTCCTCGCTCGAGTCCCGCTTATACCTACGAAATATTGGAATAATCCGCAAAAAGCCTCTCGCCTGCTATGTAGGTCGATGATTTGTGTCGCGGAAAAGGGAAAACTAGGCCAATTCCCTGCAACGAAACGCTATTAAAAAGCTTTATTTAAAGGTAAGAGAAAAAAAGGGATTGCTCTGGTCACCGAGTCTGTGTGTGAATATACTCGTGCTTTATTACTTGGCGCGTAACAGAAGCAAAAATCATTCAATTATGTAACTCGTCCTCTCCTCGTGCGTAATTATATATACAAGCAGAGACCAGCATGAAATGGTCAGTCGGTCGCTTGCTTCTGTCGTGTCAAAGCGTAAATATTAGCCACACATATCTGCGTACCGATGCAGTAAGGCAGTACACAGACTCGCTGCACTCGAGGCTTTTACGTGCTAGCCCTTTGCAGTATCAATTGGTCTTTGACAAGTTCATTTAGCGAATCTCCCCCTCTCTTTGACTCTATGTTTACAAGGCTCAACAACCGAGCGTATTAGTGCTGCATGTTGAACCGCTAATCTATTCGTTTTGACGAATTTTCCGACAAGCCGAGATCGATCGATTTATCGATCGGCGATATCAAAGTGTGTAATGAGCGAGCGAATTTTCGGCCGATGCAGGGGCTAGATGGGCTACCGCCGTCGCCGCTGCTTCTGCTACTGCTGCACGAAGCTCTTAATATATTAGAAAATTACTCGCGTGTTCCTGTTGCCTCTATCCGTACGTATGTCAAGAAATAGCAGCAGAACCTATGAGCAGCAGTGGTGGCGGCAACTACCTGCATGTATTTCCCACGGCAACCGACGCTGGCACAAACTTATAATTAAACCATCAGTTTGCCTCTCTCTATACAGACACTATATGTATAAATATATAAGGTAAACAACTCGGTGCGCGCGTGCCCCCAACACACATTCGCCACGGGACGTCTCGCTTTTCAAATAATAAATTTTGATCTTTGGATTTTTCAAGCTCGAGCGAGAGCTTTAATGAAATGCATATTTCTTTGCTCGTCGTTGAGCTTGGCGCAGTCGGAAAAATCTTGTGCACGCGAAATGTATTTTATATACCAGTCACTCGTTCAATAATTATCGAAATAAGCGAGCGTGACAAAAAAAGCAACAGAAGCAGCAGCAGCAGCAAAGCTTGTACATGTGCTACGCTCGACGAGGCTATAATCAACAGCCTGCACACGGCGCTATTATATAAAATGCGCGATATGCGCGTGCCTGACATACATAAGAAAGCGAGAGAAAAGTAATTTGAATATAAAGCGAGATGATTGCAGTGCATTACACATACGTAATACACGTGTCGCACTTCACACACTATCGTTGAAAAAAAGCTGGCCAATTTCATAACTTCGGTCAAATTCTCGCTCATCTCAATCACCCCTGAAAAACATAACGCCACAAGTTCATATATCGCCGCCTCGACGCAAGAACCACCTCGATAAACTTGAAAGGCAAAAACGTGCCTCTGCCCATCTTTTTAACATAGGGCTGAGGATGCGTTTTTGCAACTCAAGTTCATTAAGGTGGTTCTTGCGATATGTGGTAGGTACACCCACACACGCGTAGACTTTGATGCAGTCCATATCGTAGCCCCAGTAGTACTCGAGTGAGGGAGAGACGGATATAAGCTAACGCGCAGACTCGGGCCACTGCTCTATACGTGAACGAGGTCAATGCGAGAGCGAGGCCAAACGGATCTCGAGTCGCTTCTTTCCTGGCTCTCTGCCTCTTTTATATATAATAACGCACATACATCTATACGTATAGTTTCTCACACGCGATGAATCTGCCTTTCATCCCTTTATCAATATACATACGGGCATACTCATGGCTTTATATATTGTATAGCAGCTACATATCGCATCAAACTGATGTGCGACGGCCCAACATCCAACTATATGAGATAAATAATACCGAAGCATCTTCACTTCTCCTTCCAATGGGATGATATGATCAAAATAAAAGCGAGCAATTTCTATAAATTATTTTCTCTGATTTATAGACGATGACTTTCGTACGGATTTGTCTTCTGACTCATACAACCTCGAGTTGAGTACTGTGATACAGCCAATGTATCATTTTCTGAAAAGGAAGAATGAAATAAAAATACTCTTCGCTGTTGCTGAATTCCTTTCCTTGCATTCAATTCTTAAATACGAGAAACCTATACCTTGAAAAAAAAAACAAAGAAAAAACGAAATTACAGCTCGAGTCTTCGCACACGCTCGAGTTATTTGATGGCTTGAAATGAATTTAATAATTTTCATTTATTTGCGAATGAGTGTAATTAGGAGTCGGATGAATGCATAAATTATACTTGGATTTGATAAAGGCCGAGTGCGGCGATTGAAGACATTGAAAAGTTTGAGAAATTAGTTTTTTCACAGAGTACCGAGTAGTTTGAGAAAAAAATGATTAAAGCTTTTGTAATTGTATAAGGTACTGTAGACGTTGTAGGTATATAAATATCTATACATAAAATCTATACATAAAAGTGAGTAATGCATTTGTATGAAGCTTGAAATATTTTTAAATTGTTTTCTCTAAAGTTGGCTCCTGGTGCCTATGAATTGACTCACGTTTAAATTCAAATGTACATAACTATACTAGGCCCTTTAATTTTTATTCTTGTTTTCTTAGATTAATTAAATTATCTTCTTGGATACAAAAAAGAAAGTAGTATACATTCGAAGTGATCACTCGAAGAATCTGCAGCTTATTAGATTCAGCCAACCTTATAAAAACTCAACGTCGGCTAAATCATTTCATTCTCTTTTGCCTAATTTCTCATACACTAATCTGCTTCATGAGTTTTTTTCCTAGGTCGAAATCCTTTTAAAAATTAAATGTATGTTTTTACCGAGCTCGACGCTCGAGCGAGCATGGAAAGAAGAAATTAGAAAAGGTTCGCGCGTTTATCTTTTTGAAAAGCGGCGTCAGTTTCGTTTATGGCCCTAGAGCAGTATGAATGCACAGTTCAGCGTACGCGGCGCTTATCTAACCAGGTTCGCACGTGCGGACCAACTTTTCACTCGTCGCGCAGGCAAACTGGCAACATTCCTCTGGCCAAACTCGTTCTTGATTCCTTTTCTCTCTACATCTCCACTTTATTACCACCAGGTTTGCCGTGAAATATTTTATTTCTCACTCTGTGTAAGCGAATGCAAAGGTAATTAGCTCGCTTAAAACTTGCCTATTATAAATATGTACGGGCAAATATGACGTGAAGCTTTGTAGCTCGCTTCGCTGCTGCCTTCCCCGTGATTGTTTTAGGCGAGTTTGGCTGCCACTTTTCCTCTCTCTTGGCTGAGTAGACTGCATTATTTGCGAGTGGCTTTACGTAAAAATGTTATATTAGTGTACGCAAGAGAGGCTTCGTGTTCAAAGCCACGCGAGTAACACGATGCAATGTTATACAAACTTGTACTGAGTTTTGGCTTTTAATTTTTCGTATGTGATTCATTCCCCAGAAATCTGCTTATTTGAGAATTGAAAATTAAAAGCGATGAGATTTTTTTCAAATTTAGTCATGCTAACTATTTTACCTCGTTTAAATTGTTAAAATAGACATACCGATGAATCTGAAACCTACGGATTTCGTTGTTCAAAATATTAGTTCAATTTTATGTTTAAAATTGATTTTTTTCACTTATTCATGTGGCCAATTGTTACTTTGATTACAAACATTGAATAAATATTATATCAACAAAATTTTCCAAAATGCATAAAGTACAGTTTTCTTATAAGCCTTCCAGCTTGAAGTAATATTTCGATTTCACTCGATGAGAAAAAAAACAACACCGCGTGTAGAGGGAATCTCTTAAAATAAGACTTCTTAATAAACACTAAGCTTTAAATTATTATTAATTTTTTGTTTACGAGTACACCTTCAAGTACAAAATAAATGTAAAATTGAGTACCGCTCGAAGGTATGTATAACGCTCACCCTCTGCTCTGAAGTTACACTTTTTTCGTCGAAAATTGTACCAAAATTCGACGTCAAAACGTGTTATTGTGTATGTGCAGCCAAGCTCCGAGAGAGAATAGGAGAGAGAATTTTTTGCGAAAAATTATTTAGACAATGCTACGTTAACTGCGTAAAATTAAAAAGGGTTTTATCTCTTTGCCTTGCTTACCGTCAATTATTTAAAGAGTTTATAAATATTTTTTTTTATACATTACGAGTAGGCTTGCGTAAAGCACTAATGTTTCATCTACCGGCATTCAGTAAATATTTTACTAAAAACATGATCCTCTCTCGTAATAACGAATGTAATAATTAACCAACAACCTGGCTGCGAATATACAATTACGAGGCTAAAAACGGATACTTGCAAATATCCAACCGGAAAGAAATAACGCCTTTATCAACTCGTTAAACGGAAATAACGAATTTGGCAGGTTTTTCCATTTATCCCTTCCATTAGCTATACCGTCAGAAGTCGCTTCACCAAAAATGAAAAGCACTTCGTTGGAATTATATATTACATAATACGACTACATACAGTATAAATACTACAGTACTGTGTACTTTTGATAAGGTTTGGCAATACACAAGAAAAAGAAAAAAAGACAAAGAAACAGAGTCGAGAGTGGCTCCTTACGTTTATGGTTTTTTTTCATTCTCTCTCTCTCTTTCTCTCATTACTAGTGAGATAAAAAAAAGAATGAAAAAAAAACTACAAAACGCGAAGTGCAATCAAGCGGCTGCAGTGTCTACTCCTCGCGCCCGCGATATACAGGCGCATGAATACCCACGCATGAGAATTGCTGTTACGCTTCTCTCTCTCTCTCTCTCTTTCTCTCCCTTACTCTTTGTCAAGACAATATAGCGAGCGAGAGCAGTAGGCAAAGTACTTTGGAAAGAACAATTTTTCTCCCTTGCTCGCGTACGACAC